TACATACATCAAGGAAATAAAACGGCTTGTGACATGGGATCATAATATTAGAATCGCAGTTCATACATGTGCAGCATTGCTGAACGGAGCAGATCACTTGAAAGCAGACCCTGTCTCCACTGCGAGCAACTGGTTGCCGAGATGTCCGCATACGTACGCGATTCAGTCACATGCAACCAAGTTGCATACAACTGATCGATAGGGTGTGGAATTCGGCTTGAGTGGATTTTGTTGAGCAAACCAGCAGCAAGTTTGCTAACTAAAAGACGTTACATTTCTAAACGAAACTCAAAAACAAATGAACACATTTGGAATAAAAAAACATGGCCGTTGCCTCACATGTTACAGACACACCCTTACAATTCAAACTTCGCGTTTAATGTTTCAGGGAATCATTCCAAATTCCAACACTCGTTTCCGCTGATAGTAAACTCGCTGAAAAGCCAAACCTCCTCCAGCCGGCGAAGAAAGTTGCACTGCAACACATCGCAGCCTTGCTCGATATCACGGTGCATATCGGCAATGTCAAACGCTCCATGCACCAGTCACAGCTTTCAAGCGGGGGGGCTAAAACATAAATAGTGCACTTTACTGTGCAAAAAAACTCCAGGCAAGTTTCATGCCCAAAAATATACCGCGTGTCGAATAACAGCAAAGCCTTCGATTTAAAGCTTTCGTGACTGCAGGGATTAATCTTCTTGGTTTTTTCGGTAAAGTCACGTAGAAGGGAAATATAAAAATAATAAAAATAAAACATAATAAAATAATTCTCACGACGTTTCGGCCACAACGCAGGCAGCCGTCCCCGACAGCCCTGTTCTTCACCTGAGGACGGCTGCTTGCGTTGTGGCCGAAACGTCGTGAGAATTATTTAATTGTTAAATTTGTATTATTTTATTATTTCCCTTCTACGTGACTTTACCGAAAGAACCAAGAAGATGAACAGCAAAGCCGTTCAATCAACACCCCGTAGGACCCCACGTGACGTGCGGGTGGTTGTGGGGATCGTTTGGCCATACTTCACCACGCTAATCAGAGCGGGCTAACGAAGGCAGGGAATTGACACGCAGGAGCGTGGAAGAGCAGGAGGATTTACTCTCGCGCACTGCCCACAGCTGCCAACCACGTAACCCGTACACCCGATGACTTCATTATTTTTTAATATAATTTTTTTACTTAACACGTAGGCTATCATGACCAATATTATCCATAATAGAGGTTTGGGTTAGATCACTTAAATATAAATGGTGGTGGCGGGTTTAATGACACATTTATATTTGCGCGATTTAACCGAAAAGAAAAAAAAAACCTGTATTATTTTTAACTGTTGTGGATTCAGAGGGAATATTTGCGCTGGGTATAAAAATTTGGGCGGAGAGACCCGTGTATGTAAACGACAAAGTGATCGCTGCTATACGCCTTCACGCGCCAAGTCGTGGAGCGGTCCCTCCATGCGACAACACCACTCAAGCGAGTGGAAGTGTGACACTGCTGAAAGGTGATCTGAAAATTACTCAATTGGGTTTACGCATCACAGCAACATCACACCCCCCCCCCCCCCCCCCCACACTGCAAGAACTTGGCAGGACCCTCCTGAATGAGCGTCTCGAGACTCGTTGAAGATTTCCTGGGTAAAGAAGCAGAATAATAACATTGTTACGTATGCCCACTCTTTCTACACTTTGTCCGGAGATACCTTTGGCATTCAGACCCTGTTTTACGAATCCAAATGGGATGGAATAATCTTTTATCTTCACTTCGATTGTATCCACCCACAAGAACATATATTCTTTGTGTTGCAAGAAAATATTCGTAAGGATCCGAATCATTGTGCATTTCATGAATCGGTAATCCACACAACAATAATCCTGGCACAGGCAACTTGAATGAACTTGATGATTGAATTGTCACAAATATTTATAACCGCCGACTGCCCCAACAGCTGTTGTTCACACAAACACCGAGTTCTTGAGTTGTATTCACATTCCTCCCATATTCCAGTTCTAATTTTTTTTTGTGACCAAGCCAACTTGCCAGTGAACAGCTTCTGTCTAATGTGCAAAAAAAACACAACTACAACCAATATTGGTTAAAAACTGGTGATCAAATTTCGAACAATATTTAACTGTGCACATGCCTGGTTTGGTGGGGGTGATGGGGGGGATTATTTTCCCCCCATTTAACTTGCTGTGCCGACTCGTTGATTGAATTGGTTGAGTTGCAAATGTGTGATGACTTCAACCGAGTTGCATGCACCCTACATCGACTCGTGTCCACAAGCTTATACACAGACACCAGGGGGGGGGGGGGGGGGGGGGCTAACAATTCACCTCTCCCTGCAATTATATTCATTGTCACGATTCGATTTGTTTCCCTATAAGATTAGGAGAACATTTTTAGCAGGCTCCAATAGTTGCAAATGGTCAAGTCAATCCATGGCATACAATATACGATTAGAAAAATATCGACGCTTACAAATGCGATTAAATGCGTGCATCATGAGCTTAAGAATCGATATTAATCAATAAATAAATGGATGGATGGACAAAGATCCCCATTAAAGCCTTTACCTGACAGGGCAAGCGTTGCTAGCGAGCTCTTGGTTAGGCGAAAACGAGGGGATGCTGTGGCAGCACCGTGCCCGGTCACCTTGTCTCGACAGCGGTGATGTTCACACACTGCAACCGATTGCTCCCTTGAAGCCATTTGAACCACAGGGAGGCACAGAACCAGGATAATCAGCTCTGATGTTAGCCGCGGCCAGGAGTCGAACTAGTGTCGCCGGCTTCATAGCGCGGCGCGCTAACTGCCGCCACACGCTAACACACGTATATAAAGACAAAGCCACCCCGTATAGCCTGTAACAGACTGTTGGGGCAAGTGCTGTTAGCGAGCAACTATGAAGGCCGGCACGGCACACGAGGGGGTGAGTGGCCGATACCACGCCTGGCCACCTTTGTCTACCCAGCGGTGATGTTTGCACGCCGCACCAGGTACTCATTTAAGTCGAGTCGACTTAAGGAAGGCCCAGAACCGGTTCAAATATTCGTCACTGGTGTTGGCCGTGAGCGGGAATTGAAATTAGGTCGTAGGGTTAGCAGCGCAGCGTGCTAACCGCTACACCACCGCTCCCCAAAAACGTATATAGACACACACACTCACTTAACGCAAGCAGGGTCTCTCGTAGTCGTAATGCAGTCTGCAGGGCATGGCCATGACCTATCCACTGCTGTATTATTATACGTGGAAACAATTTGTAAAGAGCAACAATATTAGTTTTTCGACGCAAAAGAATCCCAAACAGAGTCTCGTGGTCACTTTTGCATTAATCTTTGTCACGCGGTAAGGCTTCATTTGCGATCACAGTTACACAGGCAGCTCACCCAGAGAAATCAGGTGCAAAAATTATTGTGATGTCCAGGCTGCCTTGTAATCTGTGGGTTTTTTTGAGATGCTTGTATCTAAACCCAACATTTGTTTGAGCAGGCAAGCTCCGGATAAGGTTTGACCATCTGCTGCTGAGATCTGGACGAACGAAATCCAGGCTTTGCCTGCCGAAACAAATGTCGTTATGAAATATATCCGCCTAGAAAAATACAGCGGTTCATGGAAAAGATTGGAGTCAAGGAATAAGCTTGCGTCGATCAATTGCAAAGTCCCGCAAAAGTGCATAACTTAGTAAATCCACTGCTGGATGAGGGCCTCCTCACGCCGTGTGGTTACATGACCATACTTCCAACATGCTCGTCACCGCGGGTTGGTGAAGGGGTTGGCATCGACGTAGTAAGCATTTGATTTTGCTGTACTGCCATATGCTGCAGAACAATGTTGTCCCGTGGATGCATTCTGGGTGATTTGGCCAGAGACAACCAGGTTTTATAGCTTTTGTAATTATTTACTACGCTAGCTCCACACACTGGATTTCCAAATTGCTGTTTCAGTCGAAAAGAGTTTTGCCAATTCAATTAAAATTACCTTTGGGAAATAGCTAACGTCAAGAACAAAAATTGCTCTACAGTGGCCCTCCAGAGGGCACAGGAGAAGAGGGATAGATACTAAAGAGTATGCGCTACTTTTAACAGATATTACACTCAAGCGCCGAGGACAAACGTTTGCACGTCCTTGCCCAGTGTGCGTTTTAATTTTCGCGAATTGATGCGTTGCGTATGCTCTGCGCCCACACGAACCATCGGCTGGCCGTTACGTGTCCTCCGCATCGTTAACGTGAAAACGGTCATCTTCAGCCGCGATACATTCCCGTGTGGCGTCTAAGTGAATGTTGCTCCTACAAGCGGCCCCCGCTCGCCCTCTAGTGGACAATTCGCAACAGAAGTGCGGAGCGCTGCGTTCGCCCCCTCTTGAAGCAGCTGCTATCGTAAGCCCTCAACAGCACAGTTGTGGTGGTGGTGATGGCGGTGACGGTTACCGTACGAAGAGAAGGGAAAACGAGAAACATTCTGAAATGTTTTAAATAACGGAATAGTGACACGTTTAGGCAAGAGTACATTACGAAATCCGATTTCATAAGGACTGCCAAGTAGGTCTGTTATGTTTCATCCTCCGCCCCACCTCGCGACTTGAACGTCATGATTTGGGTCGTATTTTTAAAATCCAACATCACAGTGGCTTCCATAATCTTCTTCATTAGTCTGGGAGGCGTCACGTGAATTGGGAACGTACGGCATAAATGATGGATCCTCACACGAGGGTAAGAATCGATTTTAATCGATGAAATCGACAATTTGTTACACCCCTACCCGCAAACGGACGAGATGCGATCGCTGCTGAGAACAGCACCAGTTTGAAATTCTCTGCTGGCGACACGGTCAACAAGGATCAGGTTTGTACATTCACAAGGGGCGGCACGGAACGCACTCGGCAGAAAAACGGGAGGTTTCGACTCGCCCTGTTTAAACGCGGGATGCCGATTCACGACGTCAGACATTACAGGGAATCTGGCCTGAGCACTGCAGTCCGTCACGAAACTTTATAACCTGCTCTAAACATCGAGTTTTTATCTTATTTGCGATATAACATTACGTAGATATTAGTAGCCGGCACAGCGATCGGTGGAACAAAGTTACTACTGCGTCTAAAGACATAAAGTGCACTTGACCACAGTCGCTTTAAGTGGAAAGCGAGAGGAGCAGGAGGAGAATGCACAAGGACACGACAAAAAAAAACACAAAGAAGCTACGAACGTCACTTGAGCCCGTAGACGCGTGCTCGGAGCCGGTCGAGCGATTGTGATGCAGCGGTCGTGGTTTTGAAACGCCTCCGAGACGGGGGCGGCTTGGTCTGTGTTGACGCCACGGTGGCCCGTCGATGGCTTTCCTCGTCTCTGCCGCCGCCGCCCCCCACTCCAAGTCCACGCCAAGTTGGAGGTTGACTGGCGGGCCCGGCCGCAAGGGGTGGGACGGCGGGTCGGGTCTGTGGGTGACCTCACAAAATTTCCAGGTCCACGTGACGCACCTCCGGATTTTGTTTCTGAAAAGGGGATTACAGCAAATGCAACCGAGTAAATTGCGGCGCGGATACGTGACCGAGGGGTGAGACGAGCGAGATACCGTAAGCGGACGACCTTTACGGTCGCCGTCGTTGCAACGATGGCACCCGGCGGAAAGCGGTCGCGAGGTGTGGTGTGTGGTGTGGTATCAACGGCGCGAGCCACAGTGAACCACTGACCCGTGACCGTGACCAGAAGTGTTATTGTATCAAGTCACAGCGTCAATTGTATTTGATATGGCGGCAGAGGTATTCTTAGAATTCTTTAAATCACAAGTTTGTGCCGTGGATGGGTGCTCCGTTTATAAAAAATGTTGCCGCTCTGAAAACATTTTGCGCCTAGTCAGGATTGTTATTGGGGTTCTAGGGGTATGGTAGCTACACAATGTAATGGCCAGATTGATGAAAAGGCAATCGTGCTCCTTGGTTAGACAAAGCCATCCAATGATTCACTTACGCCGCTCACCAGTCACAACTCGATTAATTAATCTCAGTTGTGCAATCACGTTCATTCCATTAGCCGAAATGTCATATTGCCACTTAACTTGCATCGATTATAATCAGTCTTCACAGATGATTCAACGGATGTTATGCAAGAGTAACCATCGACATGAACCGATAACCCGATGCATCATTAACGTGCTTAGTGAGACAAGGAATTTCTTTGGGATACTGCTTCATCCGCAGCTCAGATGTCCTTGGTAGGGCAAACAAGTTTCAATATCTCAGATCCCATCGCTGAGCTGGGCCTGGAAGCTCTTGTTGCACACAGACGAGGGGTCCCGTACCTTGAGCTCCTTTTCCAGCCGGTCCACCTCAGCGCCCAGTGTGTCTACGATGTTCTCCCCGTGCTTCAGCATGAACCCCTCCAGGTCCTCAGCCGTCCGCACCATCTGGATCTCCTGGTGGCGCCGAAAGAACGACAGAACAGGATGAGATGCGGCGTGTTTACAACGAGCGACGGATGGCTCACCATGGCCGGGGAGGGATTTTACCGCCGTGATCGCAACTTGGGGTGGTGATGTGGCTGAGCGGTAGTTTGATTTGCCGCTTGTTACAGCGCCCGCCCTAGTGATAACCGCACTGACCGAAAATGTGTCCTGTCCCGCTTCACAGCGAATGTCAAACACAGTGGACGTCAAAAATGTTGTGACGTGATGTGGGAAAATCACTAGACCATGTGTGTTGGCATCACGGTCCACATTTTTTTTTATTTCCCACAACTTACCACATTTAGTAAACACCACACAGTGATATGGCCATCTACAGTAAAATTACTGCAGACTATATTCATCTGTGAAATGTGGCACCTTTATGATAGCCTTGAGATATAGGAGTGGCGCGAATATCAAGAATAATCATTCTTTTGATTTAATATACTATAACCTTTCTTGTAATGACGAGGCACGGAGCAATTCACACAGTTGTGTCCGACAGATATCTTTCAATATTTAGCGAAACTGTAAAACATAGCAGAGAATATCGTACACCCAGGGGCGTTATTGAAGATGGAGTGGGACCAGACGGATTAGTATAATTTAGGAAAACTATCCTTCATACTGAAATGCAACGTACCAATGTGCCTAAAGAAGAACGGTTTTGATCAGCTATTGCATATGGCTCAGAAACATGGAAAATTCATTTTCATTTTAAGGCAGTGCTGTTGACAAATGTGTTGAGATTTTCTAGCTAAATGTAAGTGGAATATGTACACATATACACATAGATAGATCAAGCAAAGTGCTCCTCGCCCAGCCGTACGTTCAGCATCTGCTCGATGTCCTGCTTCTCCAGGTAAGAGCGTGTCAGCACCCGCCCGTCAAAATCCACCTCCGCCTTGAAGCGCACTTTGTTCATGCCCATGTCGGTGGCCTTCACGTCGTGGATGGCCCTGGCGAGACACAGCAGCGGGGGATGTGGGGGACGTGGGGCAGCAGCCGGAACGACGCGTCTATTAGTCGACTAAAAGATTGTAATTGACCACTCAATGTTGTGGTTGATTCACTTGGGTCTCCTCCTTTATAATGCTAGGGATGTTTGGGCAATTCCATGAAAGGATTGTACTGTCTGAACGAGGCAGGAAACTGGAGTGAATGGATAAAACTTGCACACGCATTATTGGGCACATTTAGAGGTGGGCTATTCGATTAAGTAACCAATTACTCTACCGATTACCGTTTCAACCACTCACATTTGTTCGCAAGTGTGCCATTGTACGCAAGGTGATGGGGAGGGCTTGGTGACATCATCGGCGTCGTGAGCCGCGATGCGCCAGGGGCCGGCTTGTCGGGGGGGTCTCCCACATTCGAGAGGCAGAATGTGGGGGAGGGTCGCTATTTTCAAAGGGCCCAGAGTAATCGATAATATAAAAAAGTTGATAAAAAATTTGTAATCAATCCATGGACTCGATCGATCGACCATTCGAGTTCTATAAACGCAACGCTTGGCGAACAGCACCCGGTCTGCTCCGCTCTGCACTTCCTCCCACACTGCCTCAACTCACCTGACCATGGGGTCGTTCTCCAGGAACTCTGTGATGCGCCTGAGCTGATCGGTCTGGATGGACCGGCCCAGCAGCACCTCGGTGTTAGTGTAGATGAGGAAGGCGGACACGATGCCCAGCAGCGTGCCCACACCCAGCGAGCCCACGCTGTCGTACAGCGGGTTCCCTGCGCGACATGCCACTCGCTCGTCACGCGGCGTCACGTCAACCTTGTTTTGTTGTTTAACCAGGTGAGCACCGAAAAAGACCAAGCAGTGACCGGGGGAATGATTGCTATGTATATAATCGCGATGTATATATGCTGAACTTCTTTTGCATTGTACGTAGCCAACCGTGCGAATCGGAGGTGTGGGGGAAGGACAACATTGAGTAATCTGCGGTGTGATTTTCAAATTTGGCAAATTTGCATCCTGATTCTGGTACATGATACCCGAACTGTGCAAGACATCTCCAAGGTCAACTGATCCTTAAACGTGCACCTGGTGTAATGTATTCATATCAGTACTGGGGAGAAAAAAAAAGCGGCCGGGAGTGGTTATGACCACACCACCTCCTTGTGCGCAGTCCTGGCCTTCGTAAATGCTCACTAAAAGAACTTGCCCTAATAGTCAGTCAAAGGCTATGAAGGGGATCTTCGTATTTGTGTGCGAGTGTGTGTATATCTGTATGTACAGATTATTTTTAATAGTGCTTGCCTGACAAAGGGGGAAGCCCTAAAGGTTAAGTGTATGCATTCATGTAGAGAACGTAATGATGGATGGTGACCATCCACAAACCTCTAACGTGATTAGCCAAATTTATGGGAAGAGCCTGCCCTTTAATATCTGGTATGCATAGCGCGTAGCCCTAATTAGGCCTGTAAACATTAATCCAAACCCTCTGCCCATCCTGGGGATGCAATGAATTGTCTCAACTCTGCATGACAATTCACAAACTGATTGTTTATTCTTTTTTGTACAGGCCCCTCACTCGATGAGCTTAAATAAAACATTTGCATATAATATGCATTCATTGAAACATTACACGTGTTAAATGTACGAATCAATATCGATCAACGAACTGATTAATTATTACACACTTACCCACAATCCACTCTCAACCCAGGGTCAGATTACTCGTAATTATTTGAACCTCGGGGTAAACATTATATTATGCTGCACTGTAACTCCCCTACCCCTGCAGGGCCAGAATACTATATAAGGTTTGGGATAAAGTCAGGGGAATCTGTCGGAGATATCTTGCACCCTTGTTCAAATTGGCTGTTATCTATATTGGGGTGCAAGTATAATAGGCTAACCAAATATGCTGCTGGAGGGGGGGGGGGTCAATCAATCATAACTTTATGGGATGTGTAGAGCTCACATCATATATAGTATCCTGGGGTCAGAATTAAACTAAACAATTTTTATTTTTACAGATAAGGCACAATGAGCTATGTAGCTCTTTGTCAGAAGCGACCTGGCCACAAATAATAGCTCCAACAAAGTGGCTTATCACGTGGACACTTATAGCAGCCAGATACTCTAAACGCACGTTGATTCTAAATGTGGTGGGAAAAACCAGAGGAGCCAGAGAAAATTCCACACGACCACAGCGAGAACATGCAGCTCCAAATATACAAGTGTAAGGGTCAGGATCGAACCCACGACCTCCAGTATACCAGGCGGGGTAGTTAACATCTCGCCACTGAATGTGACGGGGGTCATAATACTTTCTCACATAGTGGGGCTCACCGGTCAGCGACGTGATGCCCATGCATCCGGCGGCGATCACCACCCCGAGCACGGCAGCCGAGTCCTCTAGCAGCACCACGTTGGTGCTGGGGTCCCGACTTCGGAGAACTGCGTGGCGGCACCAACAGGCACAAGAGACAAAAGCCAGAGACCGCAGTCTGGCACCGAGTTCCAAAACCAACCGAGCGTCCGAACATACACAGAAACAACCACCCACCCACCAGCCCCTAACTCACGATGGACTAAGAGAAATTACTGTGATGAAGGGCTCCGGCCCCCACCTCCGTGGACATCCTGTGGCTTGTTGGTGCTGCCCTGGCTGCCCCCCCCCTTGTCTCCCTCGGGTTTGTCCTCGTTTGTGGTGAACCCCCCGGTTGCCTCATCCCGTGTTGTACTGTGGTGTTGCTCTCTCCTCTCTCCTGTGTTTCCCTATCCTGGAGCCCTACCCCAAACCCCCACCACTCACATTCTTGCGTGGTTGTCCTTTCTGGAAACCGTCTTCAAATGCGAGTGCATTAAAAGTACATGTATATGCAAATGCTTGTATTTGTTGACAATACACGACTCAAAGAATGTACCGTAATCGAAGAAGGTCATTCCTTTTGCTCGGGCACCTTTCTTGATTTCATTGATGGCGACGAGAAGGGTGGCTGTGAAAGCAAACGCAGAGATATGTTCAGAGATGCGCTAAGTCACAACTAATATATCTAAAGTAATATAGAACACTGCAAAAAAGTCACTGGTGGAAATTGTAATGACATTCTAGAGAGCTAGTAAGGTGACATTTGGCACAAATACAGTTGGGTGCATAGTTATAACTACAAATAAAAAAACAATGCTTAGAATTTAGGGTCTGAAAGTTTAGTCATGAGGCTAATTTGTTACAGCCTAAAGTTTTAAATTGCTTTAAGTTTAATGCTAAACATTAAAAAAAAATGAGAGTGTGAAGCCCACGAAAAGTGCACACAGCCCACTTGCAAATAAGTCGACTGTATCGGTTACTCAAATGAAACGCATATTCTGTATATACATGCAAATAAAGAAATGTGACGCGCTGGAACAAAAAGGGGAAATTACCTCCTTCAGAAATGAGCGAGCCTCCGAGAATGCAGAAAGCCTGGAATTTCCGACATCACAAAATGAAAATGTTCAACAATGTAACCAAGAATTAGATATCACTACCATATTTTTATGCACACATTATTGCGATAGCCACCAATTCAACAGAGCTTACATTGTAAATGCGGTCATGTAAGAGGATTGCCACCGCTGACACAGAGCGAATGAGATCAATTCACATGCAGTAGTGAGACCCACAGGGGTAGGACCGGACTATGAGAGATGGTGACTGCATGGGGAGGCTTTTATTTATCAGTGGATTGAGAGCGATTGATGATGATGAAAATGCACGTACATTCTTGTGAATATTCTACACACAGCCTTGTGACAGCTACCAATCTCAAAGGTGCGAAGATTGTGGACCTTTTAATATGTAGGTGGTATAAGGATAATAGGACCACTGTAAACTGTATTCATTCTTTTAAGAAATCACCGGTACTCTGCTGTTGCCAATGGTGCATTCACGTGTTGAATGTCACCTACATTAATAACGATCACAACACTGTTCACCATGGAGATTCATGGCATTTTCATAGAAGACTCATGGCAATTTGTTGAGGCCCATAATCCTTTCATTTTAGAGGCGAGAAGTTTCAACTGCAGCAAGGGGATCGTCGTCAACGTTTTTCTGAAATTCCCCACCATAATCATCAGTTTGAAATAAAAATGTACTGTAAACATTGAGCCTATTCGATGCAGCGTGTCCTTTAAAGAATGTGGCCACATATAATGCATCCCACATTTAATGGACTTTTACGGTGGACCACTGAAAAACGAGAAAATAACACTCCTGAAACTAAAACATTTAAAAGATTGCACAAGGCATTTGTGACGTGTTGTTAGCTGTGCCTCCAGACGACGCAGTAACGTCACGCACCAGGCAGTCTCAGTTAAGTCCTGTACTGTCGAGTATTTACTTAAGCATTGGGCTGAGCCTTCCAGAAGTTGCACATGATGATCATGATCGGTGGTTTTCAGTGCTGTTCCTTGCTAACTTTTACATTTGGAAACATGCATATAAAACAAAAGCAATACAAATAACATTACCAATTATAAACGGACTAATTTAATCTTCATGACCATAATGGGGTTTTATTAAGAAAATGGATGAACCTTGGCACTCCTCCCCTGCATTAAGCTTGGTATTGTGAGGACAGACTGTATATCCACACACAATCTCAAGACAGCAGCTTAGTGCTCCGATCTGAGCCATCCGGCCACTTCTCGAGGCCGGAAGTTTAATCTGCATTTGCAGCTTGCCCTTCCTCTAAGCCCATCGAGAGAGAGAGATAGAAAGAGAGGCAGTACTGACCCACAGCAGCGATTGGATGGCGTGTGGGTGAAGCAGCCCCATGACCCCGTGGTACCAGGACAGCCCGGCGCCCATCATGAAGATGCCCACGCCACTGATGAGCGACGCGATGTAGCGCATGTTGCTAAAGCCGTACCTGCGGGAAAAGCGGCGGACGGTATTACTAGGCGAATACAGAAAAAAAAAAAACCTCTCGAAGCTGGACTCGAGTAAGCCAGAATTTGTTGCAAGCCAGGAGGCTGTATATATAAGGATAAATAAAGCAAAAAAAACGTCCAAACTGGAACACTGTTGGCGTGCCAATGAACTTGCTCGTCGTAAGAAACGGTGTATTGTGATCAATTGTATATAATGTGTTTATTATCTTTAAACTAAAGTTAACTTTTTAGGCAAGGCCCACATGATTTATATAAGTTACGAATAGTCTTGCTGGAATTAGGAATAAGCCAGAAATGCTATACAAAGCAAGTCAATTAATAACTAACTTCTGATCGCAACACAATTCACATGCTTATTAAGCTGTCTGTAGTCAGATATAGCAGTCAGTATTAATTAAAGTATTTGGTGGTAAAAAAATTGTACATGTAATTTATGCGGGTTGGGTTTGTGCGCTTTCGCGTTTATGCGTCGAACCTATTTCTACCCAAAATCTGCTTCATGCGGATTGAATTCACTCATGCGGCTATGCGGTCAGACTTGGGACAACATTGTTTGTGTACTGTATGTACTACTCGGCAGGCGGTGCATTGTGGGTTGGGTGACTGTGGCCTACGATGCTACGCGATTTCGCTTTGTGTGCCCCCTTTTTTTTAAAGCATCTCCTGCATAAAGCTGAGTGAAAATCTATGGTTAGACTGGAAGAGGCTGAACGGGAAGTGACAGAGTGCACATCGGTCTACTCACGGATGATTCGGATCAGGATTTTTGACCGAGTGATAGATTCCCAGCGCGAGAATGGCCTGAAAATCACAACGCACGTACAACATTAGTACGTTAGTGCTGCAAATAAATTTCACTAATCTACATGGTGTCAAGACTCGGAGCTTTCATGGATAAAAAAATATTAATTCGAGTCAATTTTATACGCTACCAAGTGAAATTATTGAATGAAGAGATGAAAGATCATTTTAATGGTTGTTATTAAATCATCATTCCTCGGCATGCTAGTCTTCCATAACTACTCATATAATGATGCGATAACTTCTCACTTAGGCATGCAACAATGCCGCAATTAAAACCCATTATTACTGATAATTCGTTTTAGGAAACATTTATTTACACCTTACACAAGTTATATGCACATTTCATTCAATCAAAACTCTTGAGGCTAAATGGCAGGAGCAAGACAGAAGCAAGGGACACAATAATAGAGACAGTTCAAATGGGACAAAAAATATTCGACCTCTGATTGAACTGTTGTGACATTTCATCCAGTCGCGCAGGGTGTTGCGTAACATACGGCCGTGGCACATGCCTGGAGGCTCCGGTTTTTTACTGGTCTCGTCATTATCTCGTTCGACAGACAGAAGCGGATGGTACCCAACAACTAAGCTGGGCCGGGAAGAGCGATTCACCTGATTAGGGGCTCACCTGGTTGGCCGTGTCGGAAAGCGAGTGGATGGCTTCAGAAAACATGCTGCTTGAGCCCGTGTGCAGCCAGGCCAGCAGCTTGAATACGAAGTTCAGCCCATTTCTGGAAGTACAGAGATTTACCAGCGAGCGTGTATGTATACATCTGGCGAAGTGGTTCGTGAACTACACTACGAACCCGGTGAACCAGGTACGATTTCCGCTCACGGTCAACACGAGTGTTATTTGAAACGGTCCTGGGCTTCCCCCAGGTCGACTCGGCCTCATGAGTAGCTGGAACAAAGTCTAAACATTTCCACTCGGGAGATAAAGGTGGCCGGGTGTGGTGGTGGCCACCAATCCCCCTGTGTTCCGTGCTGGCCTTCATAGGTGCTTGCTAACAGTATTTGCCTCAAAAGTTTGTGTATGCCACAAAGGGTTTTTTTTGCCTTTGTTTCTTGTACATATGAGTACATTCCAGGGAGCAGCGGTTCATGCAGTGTGGTACAGTTACAGCAAACTAGGGTCCAATTCTGTTGTTTTTTCTGCGCTCGCTACACTTTGGTATCAATAAGAGCAGGGTGTGCATTCAATGCAACCATTTTAGAGCACAGCAACTCCTCGCTTATCGCGTGTGCACACAACGCGTTTTCGCGATAACGAGGTTCCTCCATTTGGGAACACTTTTCGCACAACGCGCCCGGCACAACGCGGAACGCGCACTGTTATAACACGGTCTCCGAGTGGTTGAAGACAAAGTACTTTCTTGAGCTGCGCAGATAAGCGGTAGTATACAGTACACAGAATAATACAGTAACGTGGCGACGCACCCTCAGCTATTTGTCCCGCCATCTCACTGCGTGTGTGCGTCCATCGTATCTCGCCAATCTTTATCATCACATTATTTATGGGGCATTGTCGTTTCACGCGTTCATCGCTTAACGTGGCACATGTCAGAAACTACGCGTCAAAACGAGGACGACCTGTATAGTAGAATATATATATCAAAAAGTGACCACAAATGAACTTGTTGCATACGTCTGGGTGCACCTCGTGTTGTTCCGTAACGTCGTGTGACCTTACATGCAGATGGCTACCATGACCACCTTCCCAGGCCCTTTCATGAAGGCGCCCGTCGTGCTTGCTTTGGGCTGCCAACACAAAGTCGTAGAAGCAATTATAGCGATTTGTAAAAAAAACTGGAAAAATAATCAAGTACGGATTCTGCAACGCTTTGCAACACACGTTTGTCCATGCAAGTATTTAAATCACGACGATAATAATCACATTTATTTGTCCAGCGCCATATATCGTAGGCAATGTCACAAGGCCGAGGCCTGTGGCAACGCTCGAGTGGAGAGGCGCCGGTGACTTTTGCTCTAAGTTCCAGAGGCTGCGCTAAAAACAATGATTTAAAATATTTGTTGAGATAGGATGGGATGCATTGTCATCTGCCAGAGCGTTCCAGACCGATGGAGGAGACTCGAAATGCTCTACCGGCCATTACGGTTCTGGTCGGCAGAATCACGAGCGAGGATTTTCTGGCCGATTGCAGACGGCTGATCGACAATAACCCGAGCGCTTGCGCCAGGCGCACACAAGAAGCTGTACGTCCATAGGACGCGAATAGACAATAGGGTTTGGACAGCGCATCTGCCAGGGGAGCGTGCGAGCATCCCTTTGAACAATTCGGACGATTTTCTCGAAGGTGAATCGCTAATAAGGTCACTGCATCGCGCGCTTTCGAATGCGCTTCTGTGGCCATCTGGAACGCTCTTCCTTCCGATATTTGGAAGCCACTGGAGCTATGCACTTTTAAATCAAGATTGAAAACTAATTTCTTAAAAACTGTTTTTTTTGTGTTTTGTCCTTCCCCCGCACCTCCGATTATCACGGTTGGCTACGTACGGTGCGAAAGAAGTCCAACATACATAGATAATATCAATGCAACTTTATACTCATGTTAAATATTATGTTTACGAGTTGTTATACACACATCACCTCTAATAGATGGACAGATGTAATGCATTAATGCTTTCAACCTTAATGGGAAGCATTAACAGTGTACAGGGTGACTTTGTGTAACTAACACTTTGAGCGGGTGGCATTATTTGGCCCAGAACATAAGCACTGACAAGGCGAAGGTACTGCAGCCCAGTAGCATGCTTATAAGAGCGTAATTGACATTCAATCAAAAATAAACATCCACAATTCAATTACAACTCAACAAATTAGATTTTCCCAAACAACAATTAGGCCTGCTTAAATGTTTACATTTATATAGATAAAATAAATCAAGGTTCAACCCTAGCCCTGGCCTCATTACTTAACCTTACAATTGTAAAGCCAGAAATTGAATTACCGGTAGCATGCAATGAAGAGTCAAAACTGTTAGATTTGGCTCAAGTTTGGGATACTAACGCGCGGATGTTTTGCGAGTGGTCAAAGATGTAGAGAAAACTTTTTTAATGCAATGCCATATCGTAATTTTGCGCTCCCATTTTTCACAAATTGGATAGATGAGAGGTTGATACTTCATATGCAGGTCCTTTTAAAGTTATTTTTTTATGGTTCCATAAACATTTGATATAAGATGTCTTTCTTTTTATTGACGAAAGGCTGAAAAACCGACTTGATCCAATACAAAGCTGGTGTAATATCGACTTCAATAATAAATGGTGGTGGTCAGACCGCGGTGCAATAAATAATACATGCGCGAACACGCTATTCATTACGACGGACAACGGAGTTCCGAGAAAAAACATTTACCTTTGTTTCGCCAAAAAATTCCTTATATTCCTTCAGTAGCTTGTGGGTCCTGAAAACATCTGTAAATACAGCAGGCGTTTATTAGATTTAATATTTAAAGTTGCGGTCTTGAATAAAGGATGAGTTAAGGGATGGGTGGTGGGTGACTGGCCACACACTTTCTTTGTATTCTTCCTCGATCACCATTCGACGCCGCCTCTCCCGTGCCAGAGCGTCCAAGCTGCCCCACACATCCAGCGCCCTGCCACACACACACACACACACCACCAGTTAAACAAAGACGAACAACGGCTACCCCCGTGTAGCATCAACAGTGCTGTTCGCGAGCACCTATGAAGGCCAGCACGGAACTCGAGGGGGTGGGTGGCCCAGCTCCACACCCGGCTGCCTTCGTCTCCCTAGTGGCGATGTCTACACACCGCACAAGGTACTCATTTGAGGCTGTCGACCTCGGGGAGGCCCAGGATCGGTTCAGATAATCATCACCATTGTTGGCCGTGGGAATCGAACTCTGGCGGCCGGATTCATTGTGCAGCACGCGAACTGTTGCATTACCGTACCCCACATTGTTAAAACATTCACCAAGTCACCAATAGCCACCCTTGATTAGCTAAGCTTAATCAAGGGTGGCTGCCCAGTTTTGAACTAACAATATCAGCAGTGTCAGCTCACTGCTCAAGACACCTGAGCCACCCAGCCAGCTTCATGAGAAGTGCTTACTTTGCTTCTATGTCCAAACGCAGGAACACGGTGAAGGCTTCCGAGTCATCATGAGGACTTCTCCTGCGAATCTTCCGCAGTTTTTCCAGGTCACTGCAGACGACAATGCCAGTTCACCTACAACTCCGACAGCATTTTAATTACCGTATATTTATAAAGTAGCAGCTCTTACACTATTGTTTTTGTAATTGTCATAAGTTCATAAAGTAGTACCCATCAAACAAACATGTTGCGAGGTCGCAGGGTTTAATATCAGCGGGGTTTGCGACCCAACAAAATATATTTACATACTCGGCACACTACATATAGTATTCCAGTGGCTATTCCTCTGGCTACCAGTCATGTCCCTGCTTCGGTTTACCAGCGACACAGAACATATTCAGTGAGAAATTAAGCCCTGGAAAGTGCCATATATGTATAATAAATGGCCTGCCCATGCCTGTACCGGTTGTAGGGAGTATATGACCATACTTCACCATGCTGGTCAGTGCGGGGAGCACAGATGTGGAAGCATAAAAGTACAGTACATCAATAGATGTTGCTGCATTGCCCTGATTGCCCATCTAGGCACAATCCAGGTTCAAGCCTACTTATCTTCCAATATCTGATGATATACGGTGAGATTTGCAGATGTTGCATGTCACAATATTCAAGGAACACAATTACAGAAAATTAATTGTTGTTTAAATTGATGTTTTAAAATACAATGATAAGTGGTATATCAGCCAAGGCGTTACATAATTACATGTGATGCGACATCATTGTGATTAAAGAGCTGGAATGGAAACAAATGAATTATTACAATCTTGAATATACAAAAGGTATTCTTTAAGTCATTATGAAATATTTTTACCCATTTTGAAAATAATCTCACAAAAGTAGGAACGTAAACAATTTGTCAATTTTCTATTCTGTATTATAATTTTTTTACATGAATGCCAAAGGTGAAAAATGATGTCATAGTCCAGAGTGAATGTACACATTTGTTGTGTAATGTTTATTTTAGTGCTGTGTAGTATTATACTGTCATAAAGAAAAAAAGTTCTTTCCGTGGCATTTTGACATTGACTCCACCTACTGAAGTTGTTATTTCACTCATCAGCTTACCAGCACAGCTGCAAAGCATTTTTTTAAAGAGTAAGCCTTATGCATACAACAATCAGTTTCTCTTTGATGCTAAACGAGCATGTTTCAGTACCTGCTATTCAGACAGAATTCTGCCACAAACTATTTCACTCATCAGCTGACCAGCGCAGCTGCATAACAAGTTTTTCGTTTTTTTTTTACGAGTAAGCCTTAATTGTTCAACAATCAGCTGCTCTTTGATTCTAAACGAGCAGGTTTCAGTACCTGCTATTCAGACAGAATTCGTTCATGGCCCGCACGGCCGTGATGAAGTTGTTTTGGGTGTAGCGGGTTCCATACTCCCGCTTTTTGAGCACAGGTTTCACTGAGGAGGGTGCATACGGTAAATCATGGAACACAGTGTAAAAAGCAACAGGGCAAAAACACAACCAAGTTTTAAAGGCATACATGACTTCAATCACAGAGTCAGCTGAAGCAGCCTCACTCGACTTGCGAGTTAATTTAACCTGACGAAGAGCAAAGCAGTTTGAGCGAAACGCTACAAGCTGTTAAATTTAGTCGTGAAAAGTCTTGAACCACCGGTGAGAAGCTGCATTGGTCCAGAATTTGATCAAGACATTGGCAAGTATACAAATATCTTTGTAAACGTGACAATCTTTGTCGGATGGTGAATGGTTCATGAAAAAAATGTTGGCCTAAAACTACCACTCGGCCACACCCAAAAATACATATGGATCATTGTATTGGCTACGATAAAAAAAAACCTTACATTTTAAGATTACACTGAAACCAAAAGAGATTCGTGAAATGTGTAACTGAAAGTTTTAAAAACAGACATACCTCGAATCTGTATCTGTTCGGGCGGAAATGAGGCCAGAACTGTGCTTGCTGAAAAACAATGCAACGTTGTCACAAACATTTCATGTAGGACACTATGTTGTTTTTTTGCTAATGTAATAGATGATAATTTTCACAATGCAGTGAAACACAATACAAAAGATAAATGTGTATTGTGATTAACAATGATATGAACTGACAATGCGAAATACAAATTTAGATTCTGACTTTTAGATATTGGACAGCTTTGGAAAACAAGTCAATTCCAGTTCTTACTAGGGTCCATTATTTCAAGTGTTGCACATATTTCGTATGGCTCGTAAAGAAAATTAGACTCCATTCTGACATTAGCTAATCAAAGACATTTAATAGCTACCCTATTTATGTTCAACGTTTTATTTCATTTGTGTTATTGTAATGCACCTGCAAATCGTATTATACAGTATTTCCATTGCTGGAATTGAATTGCATCTTTCTCATTCCATTTTGCCTTAATGTCATGTTCATGTTTAGAACTTATTACTGGTTTATTGTATTAATTGAAGGTTATTCATTTTGTTTCATTTTCATTTCAATTTTCCTCTGTAGTTCATTTGATTTAGTTTTTGTTCTATGACGCAACTATTTTTACCCAAAGCCTTCTTGGAAAAAAGTACTTGCAAACTTAATTGGCCTTTACCAGCTTAAATAACGAATATCTGACTGCACTATGAACCTGGTGACCTGGGTTCCATTCCCAGCATATGCTAACATGAAGGGTAATTGATATCTGAAACAGTCGTATGCACCCTCACATTTAATCCAACCCACATTTACCAGTCTCCATGACTGACATGGCATGGGGAGGTTTAAATTTGGCAGTGGATGTAATAAATTGCTGTACATGTATTAATGTTTCACTCAGGACTCACCTGGGGCTTTCAGCCCAAGTGGCCTCTTACTAGGGTTCAATACCCCATTGGGATTTTCAGCCTCAATGGACTTTTACCAGGGTTAAAAAGAAAGAATATAAATGCTGTCATGGTGTCATGATTAGCACACTGAACTCAATATCCTGGTAGGGTAGTTGAAACAATAATCTAGTTTCTGAAATCACCCACCTCTGTCCATCCAGCAGTAAAAAAATGTTCAAACCAGCTACCCAATTGGCAAGTTGCATGTGGTGGGGTAAAGTGTGAGTACTCTACACCTCTTCCAAGATGTGTGGCCAGTATGAAAAAGTGGGTCAAAATACTGTCTAGGGGGGCTCTCTACACATCCTTCTATACACTCTCTAGTGCAGACCCTTCTGCTAGCGGTGGTATGAGCAAATAATTTCAGGGATGCACCTTAACTTTTACCCAAACAAATAACATCTATCATCTGTCCTTCCAATTGCACTCCCAGCTCGTTACCATTCAGCGGCCTGGTCGTAGCAGCTTGAGTTGCCGAGTCTGGTGGTGACGCGGCGGCTTCTTTCCTGATGGTCGCTCCAGTTTCCGTCGTCGCACCATTTTTAGCGGTGTCCTTGGCGCCTCCACCTTCCTGGTCGGTGCCGCCTTGACTGATGTTACCGCTGCTGTAGAACCGAGTGACGGCTCCGGAACGGGCACACCCAAGGCAGTGCACCAGCGGTTGCAGGGCAGGCCGCTGCCCACCAAGGCAAACCCCAACAAAGTCTGATGACCACGGAAACACAAAGCAACAAAAGTGGCCGAGAGAGCAACTGTGCACCGCTTACATATTCACCAATCATCAGCTGATGAGAAAACAAAACATATACATTATTCGAGGTAAACCGAGACCAAAACAGCTGACAGCTGAACAGTTATTGTCGGCAAAATTGCCACATACCGTAAGAAGTTCGTTTTAGCTGTGTTTGATGACAAACAGCGAACACTTTACGGATGAACTTTAGCTGTCTCCTTGAGATTCCTTGCAACATGTTTTCAAAGGTCACCTGCAGAATGTAAAGAATATAAATCAGTTGCTTATCCAGGAAAGGTTTTGATGAACTCTTATTGAGATGTGTCCTGTGTTGGTATTTTGGCCAATGTATTTTCCCGTTTGTCACATGGCAACCCAGCAGATATGGCAGTTTCACAAATCTCTTCCTAATCCACAAACCCTTTCCTCCAAAATACGATTACGAATGAACGTGCTGAAACGTGTGTCCATTTAAACCAGACATGTTAGCCTAATAGGATGAGCACATAGTATTAGATGAACAAGCATCAGACCAGATGTTTTGAACAGGAATTTGCCCCATGTTTCGCCGTGTCCTGTAATTGTTATGTAACACGAATTCTACACGCGTTCACATTTGAACTCGGACGTTACATTTAAGTCGATTGTCACATGCGTTAGTGGTTAACACACATAGACAGAAACAACACCACAGCTGTTTATAAACAATTATGAGCAGCGTTTTAAGCAGACAGCAGTGACAACGCATTCATTCGAAACAATACTGGTGGCGTATGCATTCATATCCATTACAGTACTGTATATTGATTTCCCAACATTGTTTTTAATTAAATAAAACAGATTGCAACGTCACTTGCTCTACAGAGAAATATAAATTGATGGCGGCTTTAGGATAAGCTAGAACAACAATAATACCAATGATTCACATCGTTAAGTCTTCTTCCGATAAGCCTAAAGGCCAATAACACCAATTATTAACACAAAGACCCCTAGAGATCAACTACACAGTACAGTACTGGTAAATGTCTTGGCGATTAACAATAAGAACAACAATAATGATACAACTGTTCTTGCAATGAATTATGATATCAATACTGGTGAATATATTCTCGACTGTAATGGCAACATTAATTCCAACGTAGCTAAGTGTCCTTGAGATTAACTAAATAACAAAAATAACTAGAATAAACATTGATAGGTGTTATCGACGTAATTATAGCGACCACAATAACAGAGATAGTGTCCTTGTGCTAAACTAACGACAACAATGACCATCGCCATCCCAATCATCACAATTTTCCTCGTTTTTTTTCCGATTAACAGTTGGTTACGTACGGTGCGAAAGAAGTTCAACGCGCATACAATTCAAACTATGAGGATAACAAGCAAACGCATTTAACATACGAGTACGCGTCCTCGATATGACATGAGGGCAAATATAAAACCTTAACAATGAGGCGATTGTGGGAACGGGTACAGTTAGTGTATTATGATTAACACAGTTAAAGTGTCCTTGACATAAACTATACAAACAACAACCTCAGTACGGTCACGTCTAAAACATTCAGTTCATGCGCAACGATAGCAGCACTGGACAGTGATGAATGTCCACGGCGTGGGAAGGCATCCATCCAGCAGTGGAGAGACAATATCTAGAGCCGGCGATGATGATAACAAGCAAAACATTGTCCGCGTACCAAGTCACCGAAGCGGCTTCAACAGTAGGCCGCGGACGAGCCCCCGCTCTGTCCTAGTCGCCTCTACCGGAATCGGAGCACCTCGGCCGGGAGGCCGCCTGGTGGACACGGCCCACGACCCGGGGACCGGTCTCGGGGTGGGAGACGAAGCCGGTTTCTCGGAGCGAGTTTCCCTGCGGGGTCCAGGCGGAGAGAGCCGTCTTCTCGGTGCTTTGACGGAGTGTTCAGATGAGAATCGCGGCGATGTAGCGGCTGCGAGGTGCAGGAGAACGCGAGCCCGGGGCTTGAGCGAGCAATCGACGCCCGCTGCCTTCCATTGATGCGCGAAACTCAACGGGAATCGATTCGGCGGACGGTTGTTGGATCGGATCGATTGGTCAGCCTGATTGGAATTATTTTGTTTCTTCGTTTATGCATTGACCGGCGTGGTGAAGTATGGTCAAACAACAACGATAATCGTTACCCCTCAAGGCGTGGGGGAGGCTTTTAATCCAGCAGTGGATTGGCCATGGCTGAGGTTGATGATGATCCGTGTAACGATTCGATTTTCTACGAGATTTGTGGAATCGGTGAAATATTAGCTTGTGCTGAAACGCATCACGTTATTTTATACTTTAACATTCTTAAAACACGCATTTGGCTCCTTAAGAGAGGCAGGATCATGTTGAATTGATAAAGTTAATGAGCATTTCACAGGAATGACGGTCAAGGGTGCGAAAGTTGCACACTGTTTCTCGAGTCTCTGTACCGGACTCAGAAAAAAATATAATCTGAGAATATTTAACGTAGAAGGGAAATAATAAAATATTATTTCCATATTATTTCCCTTCTACGCGACTTTACCGAAAGAACCAAGAATATTAACATCCAAAGTCACGTAAAGGGAAATAATAAAATATTATTTCCATATTATTTCCCTTCTACGTGACTTTACCGAAAGAACCAAGAATATGAATCCCTGCAGTCACGAAAGCTTTAAATCAGAGGACGTTAACTTGAATACCAGCACAGTGGCAGAGGGCTTAGTGTGGACTAAGCAGGCGGGTCTCATCAGTGAAAAGCCAAGTGAGAGGATGAGTCGGTGGGGATGGGATTAGGCTCTATATATCTGTATAAAGACAGTGGCTACCAAATAATATTTATTATTCAATATTTTTTTTTAACGAAGGATCACCGATTCGGACTTTTTTTGTTTAAAGGGTGGTCCTGCCAATTTTTCTCAGTAGGGGGCAATGGTTAAACTAAACGGCTCAACCATTTAATATTGTGGCTTTCGCGTGATTATTTGAACTTATGGGCAATGGGAAATGAATTGGAAAGTGCTTGGATGGGTGACCATGATGCACAAGACGGATGTAGAAGGCCTTAAGGGCAGTCCAGAAACATCCAATGTTCTGCATTCACCAACCCACGGTCAAATATCCAGCGGTAGATTGACACAACTTGACTGCGCATGCTACATTTAGCCAACAGTCCACTTCGATGCCGTGCATTGTGAGCTTAAGAAATTATAATCAATGGGCCAGAGCAGACGTCGTTATCACCCGAAGTAGCAAAACGTGAGTAGTTTCTATTTAGATGCCAAAGAGTGAAGCAGGTATTTGAATAGTTCTCACACAATTCACCGTTGGCCACTTGAAGACATTTTAACGAGTGATGGCACCTAAGGCGATCCCAACGAGTGAAAATATTGTACACGTTTACTCAACATATTCCTGTCAATTTCCCCACGGATGTAGTCTCTCCATTTTTTCCTGTGCTAGGCCATCAGCTCCACGTCCACCCCAATCCTTCACATCACTTGGAACCAGCTCTTTCTTCTTAGCCTGCCTTTGTTTCTGCCCTGGTGCTTTCATGTTCATCGCTATTCTGCTGCTGTGGTTTTCGCCTCCCCTTTACTGCAGATCCTTCACTCAATGGCACGTCAAAGTGAACAAATAAGACGGCACACACACACATACAAAATGTGCTAATTATATTTATTACAATGAAGTGTAATAAGAAACAAAAACTTAGTGCAAAACCCAGATCCCACCTCGACACAATAAACAAGCAAGTCGTGTTAACATCCCTCCGGTGTTTAAATATATATTTTTAAGTATAGTCTCGTTCTAAAATTGTGTTTTTTTAAGTTGTACCACGCGTTATTTGGTACTGTCCCCACATTTCATTCAACGTGCTGGGAGCTTCAGGAAATATATGCCAAACGTGCTACAATCCGAAAAATACAAGTGCCGGCCACGCGGCATAACTGCAAATGCCTATGCAGTATAGAAAGTCATGTGTTGTTCGTGGACTAAATGCCCCATGGCAAAATATTCGGCAGCCACAGGGGTCACACGAGACGTCGGGGTCATCGTGACCCCACCGTGCATACACGCAAGGAATGAAATCATCGACTCACAAGCAAAGCCATGCACACTTTTCCATTATATTAAGTGTCTGCGGCGATGCAAAGTACGTAAAAAAACCTCTTCTTGGTTCTTTCGGTAAAGTCACGTAGAATGGAAATACGTGACTTTACCGAAAGAACCAAGAAGATGATTTCCTGCAGTCACGAAAGCTTTAAATCGAAATTTATACGTAAAAAACGTCACGCGTAAACATTTGTTCAACGTTTAGATTGCTTTACGGCGAGTTAAAATGCCACCGATTGTCACACGACCAAGCAACACCAGCTTCAGATTCTGACGTCATGAAACCCAACACCAGTTTAACAAAACGAATTATGTACATTACCATTTACCATAAGACAACGTTTCATTATATTTTATCCTTATCATTTCGAAAATTGTGAGGTGTTAGCGCCGTGGTTAAACGCACTGCACTGTGAAGCCAGCGATCGGAGTACAAAATCACGGCGACGGCTAACATCAGTGGCAAATAATAACTAAACAAGTCCTGGGCCCCCCTCCCCCCACTGCACCAATCCGCACTACTGGACTAATCAGTGACGTTTGGTCAATCAATTCATGTGATAAACACAGCACGGGGAAGCTTTCATCTAGCAGTGGATTAGGACATATTACTGTATTATATATCAATGATGCAATCAGTCATTACAGAAAATTCATTGTAGAATCGGACGTGGGCTTGTAACATATTTTGTGGGTGCATATTGCGCAAACGATAATCCAAATGGATACCGAACAGCTAACCACAAAAAACGCATGCATTCAATTATTAAAAACCCTTCGAGGAAAGTACTATCATGCCAACCACTCAACCCGGCCCCCGCAGCATTGATATACAGATTAAAGCTGGGGGAAAAAAAATCCCACAAGCACACAATTGAAGTTACGTAAAAATATTGTTGTTTAATGCAAGTAAAAGAAAATCCCACGAAACGTTGCGCGACATGTGCATTCCAACAACAGCTTGCTATTCCGACGTTCATACAAGACAGACTTGTACAAATTAGTTAAGAAGGTGACCACGTGTCTCAGAGGTCAGAGCACCGAGCTGGCCGTTTAATCCTTGTTTACAGAAACATGTTCTGCTTGTTGAGTTGGTTAGCCCCGGTGAAGCCGTACATGGCGGAAGTAGCTGCGGAGCGTTTGCCGGCAGCGTTCAAGCTCTCGTCGACGAAGGTCGGGAAGAAGCTGCGGTGGCGCCGATCTGTCAGACGCAGCCTGGACAGGCGTCCTAGCAGTGGAGAGGCGACCTGCGAGAATTCACAAAAAAGACAAATACTCCTTGTATATAGCCTACACAGACTGTTATGGCATGTGCAGGGCACATACCGTTCGCGATAACATATGAAAGCTGGTTTGGCATCAGTGAACCGACTTGACATCTGTGAAAATGAGCTTCATTAGCTCATTGGATTCCCAGAGTCTAAATAAAGAGTCTGATTATGAGCGAATGCTTTGGCCAGCACCACGCATCAGCTGCCTTGGTCTCCACCGGTGAAATTTTAGTTTTTTTACACATGGCAACAGGTATTCATTTAAGGTGGAGTCGACTTAGGGTTGGCCCAGGAACAATTCAGATAACTGCCACTGATGTACATTGTAGTCGGGAATTAAACTCGGGCCAAGCAGTGGCTGTTGTGCACGAGCACCCGTTTAGCACCATAGTTCTCATACAAATGCATTAAAATATAATCGGGGCAGCCTTCTGATCAAAAAAACCTCTTACACGTGACACACCGCAGGAATGAGAGTGCACGGCTCAAGATGAGCAGCAGGGTGAAAGAAGGCACACCGAGGAAGAAGCAGAGAAGGCATGACCAGGCCGAGATGTTAGGAGACGAGAGGCGAGGGAAGAGGGGGAGAGAAGGAGCAAGCAGAAGTGAGCTGCACGGAGCGGCATCTGTTTTCACAGGGGACAGGGAGAGGGGAGGGATTCAGAGTGGGGGTGACCACACAAAAGTAATGCGATTTGCAGGAGGCTTGAGCCGATTTAGATATATAAATGTCAGTGCACTTGGGAGTACCACGGCAAGGTTGACTATGAAAGCAGTGAGCAGTTAAACGCCTCTACAGCACCCCCCCCCCCGTTTCACTCCACAGCACAACCTAGCCTGGTGGTGGTGAACGCCTGTAAGCCAGCACTGGAGAGGCGAGGGTTGTTGATGGATCACACAAATGCTGTGAAACTCCCTTCACGTGGACATCGAGTTGCCATACCTTGGCTTACCAGGGACAATTGCGGTACAGTAAAGTGCAGATTGATATCCATCTGTATGGGATACAGTATTTCCCCCTCGCACATGTGGGTTTCCCTCTGGATGCTCCAGTTTCCTCCCAAATATAAAAACACACTTTAATTGGCCGAAACGCCTTACTACATTGGTGCTTCCACACGTTGTGGATTGTGCAGCATTGGGAGATGCATCTCATATTTACAATGACAGCATTGATCCTATCTACAGCAGAGCTGATGTTTGATAATGTACTTTATTTATACAGGAAATTCTCACTAAGTCTAAAGACGCTTTTTCTTTCAGGACTCTGCATTGAAATATTGGGCTATATTCCTCTAATTTGGCCATGAACCGAGTGGGCTGCATGCCGGCAGGAGTACCCTGAGAAAACCCACACACGAGTTGCGACGAATCAAACCTCTGAAAACTACGAGGTTCGCAAATCTAGTCTGTGCTGCCATCTCCTGGCAACTTCAACGCCCAGCGGTTCGAGAGTTTCACGATTCTACAGCACTTACTTTCATGGGGCGGCATAGTGGTGAGATGTTAAATACCTCGCCTGGTATGCAGGAGGTAGTGGGTTCAATCCCAACCCTGACACCTATATATTTGGATTTTGCATGTTCTCCCCGTGGTCGTGCGGATTTTTCTCTGGGTCCTCCGTTTTAAAAAAAATAATATCTAGAGTATTTGGCTCCAATAAATTTTCAAATTAGCCACCACTTCATTGAGCTGTCATTTGTGGCCAGGTTGCTTCTGAAAAGAGCCTTATAGCTCAGTGGGACTTACCTGGTAAAATAAAAAATATTTTATAGTTTTGTTGTTGTTGTTGTTGTTCAAAGCCCTCTATTAGAAGTTTGTGCCACCACGCCGAGCTTCTTTCATCCCCGGCCACATGATCGTTGTGAAGCGAATCGACTTACCTTGAAGACCCTGGATCCACTCTTGTCGTACATCTTCTTCCACTTTAGAATTTCTTCCTGCATGGCCTCCGACGACACCTTGTTCTCAGCCCTGCCAGGGCACGCGGAAGCACGGCACACAACGCTTCTGTTCAGTCTCATGCAATCCATTAAATCGATGAAGGAAAATCCAGCGAAATAGGAAGCTTTTGAGCTTTTTCAGGGCTCTCCGACATGGGTTTTTGCAGCTTCGTTTATGAAAAAAAATACTTTAAAGTAACTTTTCCTGTTTTAGTTCGCTCTCATGACATCATTGTACCGTATAAAAAAAGGGCATTTAACAATGCGTCTATTGTACATTAAATGGCATAGGTATTGAATCGTGAGTGTAAGAATCAATAATTTCCCTTTGTACACGTTGTGCAAGGAAGCAATGCAATGGTGGCACATTGATGATCACACTTCGCTATGAGCCTGGCAACCAGAGTTCAATTCCCGGACATGGCTACCATTAACACCGAGCGACACCTGAAAATCTGCTTTACTAACCAGTGCGGTGAAATATGGTTGAACAACCCCCCCAACGACCGGGGTGGGGGGGGGAGGCTTTAGGTCAAGCAGTGGATTGACAACAGAGGCAGTTACCCAACCTACAGGGGTCGCAGCGGGTCGCAGGCGAACAGGCTCAATCGTGCGGCGAAGGCACACGGATTACTCACTCTGCGCTCCGCAGGAGTGGCATTTTTTGCAGGAGCTCGTCTTTGGCGGCGCTCGAGGAGCCCTGCGGCTTGGCCGACTGGGCCCTCGTGACGACAGCCGCGGGCAGCGGCGGTTCCCCGACTTGCTCCCTGTACGCCTGGTGAATGGCGCTCATCTCGGCCACCATCTGCGTCATCTTGCTCTCCATGCTCTCCACGTTTCTGTGGTGGGCCACGAGCGACGGGACTGTTGTCAATGGTCGCAAACCAGCTGCTGCTCGCCGAACGGACGATCTCGGTCGCGCGTCTAAGCCGAGTGATTGTTTTGAGTCTCGTTAACGACATGCTTGTTGGTTAAGCCTGTGACCAAATTGCCCGGAATGCGCCAGATCTCAAAGCGAAGCAGGTTGGATAATATAAATTGCTCGGACGAAGCGCCAACGTGCTTAAGAAAACAGGTTTGTTGTTGTTCTAGGGTAGTGCAAAAAATATATATATCGCTTCACTGTACTTCTATATACTCAGGTCTATGCTCTCTGCTTTACCAACCCTTGCTCAATTCAAGAAATGTATTAACTCTTATCTGTTACACCTTCAATAAGTCCTGTTTGTTGCTTGAACATTTTGGGATTTTGGGCCTGCTCCAAAAACAACGGTGATGAAAAAAAACCCGCAGGATCCGCATGGCGCGGGGGAGGCCACTAAATCACTATCAGCCATGGTCAATCCACTGCTGGATGAAGGACTTACCACCCCATCGCCGCCACCTCTCACGATCCTGCCATGTAGTAATCCGCCCGTCGCCCGTGCATAAACTACATTGAACATTATTATAACGCGATGCATGTTATTAAATGTTCCCCTGCGCAACGGGTCACGCCTGCTCGGCAGGCACAGCGCACCTGGCGAGCTCGCTCCCGGCTTCGGCTGCGAGCAGCGTCACGCGCCGGCGTGGAGTCTTTGGGGGCGCTTTCTTCTGCCCTTGGGCCGCCTCCCGCTCCAGCGCCTCCACTCGCTCCTGCAGGCACTGCCTCTGCTCCTCCGCGGACTCCCTCATGCTGTGGACAAGGACCCCGTAAAAGTCTTGAGCTGGGCTATCAAAATATTTAAGTAAAATCGATTACTCCACCGAATATCGCTGCAATTGCTCAACTAGACAAATGGCACGAAAAAATTGTGTTGGGAGGCGGGGGGGGGGGGAAATCTGACATCATGTGTGCACCGTTGGATGGGCGACAATGGCCAGGGGTTTGGGACACTTAATTGGCACCATTAGCAGCGTGCAGCTGGGTGTGGCTTCTAGAGGGGTTTTCTGGCTCTGGGGCGGCTGCAATTTTTAAAAGGTGCACAAGTAATCAGCCGCAAAGTTAGTCGATTACGATTTGTTGTTGCACAAAAAATAAATATGATAGAACTGAGCCGATCAGCCAAGTTGTCCCACCATCGCCACGGATGAGCACGGTTGGCTACGTATGGTGTGAAATAAGTTCAACATACATACGGAGTATGGTGACAGGGGGTACACTCCTGTAACCCAATCAATGCACCTCATCTCGTAGGAAATTAAAAGCCAAGCATACTTTTAAGTCGGCATGGTTGTCAAAGCACACTTTAACTTGACGTGAAAGACATAATCCCACACCGGTCTCACCTGTTCAGCTCGGTCTTCAGCTTCTCAATCTCCTCGTACTTCTCCCGCACGTCCCTGTCCATGCGTTCCACGAGCTCCTCCAGCCGCGCATCTCCCTGCTGCAGGTGCTCAACGTCGGTGAGCACCGCTCGCAGGCCCTGCTCGATGGTCACCCGTTCCTCCATCAGGCCCGACAGCTGCTGCTCCAGCGCGGGCCCCTCCAGCGGCAGCATCGCCATCTCCTCCGCCGTCGTCGCCGCCGCCGCATCCTCGCCAGCACGCACACCGGGACCGTCGCACTCCATGGGAACTTCGCGAGCGACAGCGCCGCGCCCCGGCCCGCGTTTGGAGTGAGACGGGAGCTTCTTCTCGAGGCGCTGAACCTGAACCCGGAGGGTGGAGATTTCTCCGTCGCGCCGCGCCAACCGACACCGATCGGCGTTTGCACCGCTCTGCGCTGCGGGGATTTGGGGTGGTTGCGCGTGGCTGCTGGGATCGCCGCCCCCCAACGGCCGATCCGTCAAATCCGATTTTGAGTTGTTCTTTGGGTCCTCTGTTTGATAAATAAAAAGTTATTTCCAGGCTTTGTATTAAGTTGAAAAATTACGGGTTAATAAAAGTGCCATGTTTTTATCATAAATTGCCAACTCTTTTCAATTTAAATAGTATTTACACATTTGAACCTGGTGACCCAAGTGAAATTCTCGGCAACGAATAACAAATGGTGGCTGCGATACGCCAAATGGTCATGCCCCAGTATATGGTGGTGAAGTATAGTTAAAACAAACCCTTAACCAACACAGCATTAAGTAGTGGATTGACAAAAGATCTTGTATATAAATATTAGACTATTATCATTATAACTATGTGAATGTATATGAAAAGCAATCCATAACACCAACCTGTGGGAGGAAAACACACACACCTTACCTTTCAGGGGTTCTAAGACTGTCTGAGATGTTTGTAGATTCAGTTGCAAGGTCCTCACTTGCTCCTCAAACTCACATTTCATCTGCTCCTTCTCCTGTAGAGACAAAGACATACAAGACAAAGATCCCCCCCATATAGCCTTAACAGACTGTTGGGGCAAATGCTGTTAGCAAATACCTATGAAGGCCGGTAATGCACACGAGGGGGTGGGTGGTCAACACCATGTACGGACACCTTTGTCTACCTAGTGACGATGTTTTATACACTGCACCAGATATTCATTTGAGGCTGAAGCAACCTAGGGGAGGCCCAGGACCGGTTCAGATAATCGTCACCTGGTGTTGGCCGTGAGCATGGACTCAAGCGACAACAAAACAGCCGACTGGTAGGGGTGGAATTACGCACGAATTTATAAATTCCTCAGTTCGCCATACCTTCATCAAAATTGTAATAATGTGGTACATTTGGATATTTTGCACCATTCTTATAGTGCAAGGCCATCATGATGGAAAGCGCCAAGTTTCACAGAGAGAAGTCTGCAATAGTTTATTCTTCAGCCACTTGAGATCCTATCGTTCACTGCAAGAGATATATAACATATTGAGAATGAATCGCTGCCCTTAATCGCAACAATCTATGGAATCGTCAGGGATGGAGGGTAAATCCTTTAATGATTGTGCAGTTCCACAATTTCAGACGTACGTTTCAGACACTTAAGAGATGCGGGTAATCATCAGTATAATCATTAAGGTCACTTTTACTTGGGGCAAAGCATGTCAACCAATTAGAACTGTAATTCAGATAAAAATTACGTGTCCACCCTTGTGGTGATGGTGCATTCAGTGTCGATGGTTGGCATCACACCATTTACTCATTCCTGTAAATAAGCCATATTTTGAAAATCATATGAACACCCTCATTTCGAGATTAGTATATAAATGTTATTTATTTATTTGTTGGCTTTCCTTACTGGAAGCTAACACTACACTTGTACGTGTGCAATAGTGATGAGCGAGGTCCGATAAGCGGAGAGCACGCAGGAAGCAGACGGTCACCTGCTGTTCACTCTCCAGCTTTAGTTTCAGCTCCGCCAATTCCAAGCACAGTTTGCCAAGTTCGCTTTTCAGCTCGTCTCTCGAGAACTGTGGAGTCAGGTACACACAAAGCACAGCAACAGTGCCACGATGCCAGTCGTTGAAACAGGTGATGCAATACGACACCGCGTCAAAGTTAAAATAGAAGGGTGGTTTTTACGAATCGTTGCCAGATCAGCTTCGAGGCTGCCGACACTTATCTAGCTTGACCACCCGAATGCGAAATTGTAGTCGTTGCTCTGCATCAACATCAGCCATATGAAAAAAGACTGCCGACGCGATTCAAAATTACGACTTACGATCCAAATGTTACGTTGCAGGATCGAGAGGGATGGTAAGTGGCTAGATGAGGCATTGATCCAGGGCTGGATTGACCATGGCGGATAATGATGATTAAAATGGCGGATGATGATGATGATTAACACGGTTGTCAACGTACGATGCGAAAAGAAGTTTAAGATACATACAATGATGGTGATCTCAACATGGACAGAGAATTTCCCAAGCAGATATCAGTCACAGCGACGAAGATCATTCCCTGAAGTGCAACCTGCGTTTGTCACGGCTAAGAATTCCAAGATAAATGTTTCTGTGTTTTAATGTTAAATGTACAAGTTATTTTAAAACCTGTTAACATGTAGGGGTTTTATATGCTGCAAGATAACTGAAAGTGATGCCAAGCAAGTATGACTGACCTAAGGTGATGGCTCAATGTCCAGGTTGAGGAGGCTACAAAAACTCCACCTTGGAGTTTTGCAAATTAAGGTGATAACACAAGCCAACCACTGGGGTCGACCCTTTCAGTGCGTGGGTGTTCAGTGCCGCTCACCTTAGCCCGCAGCATGTCGTTGATGCTCTGGAGCTCGGCAGATCGCTTCTCCGCGGCGGTCGCCCGCGTCGTCAGGGCATTGCGCTCGCGCGCGCCAGTTTGCAGCTTCTCCTCCGCCTTGCGCAGCTCCGCCTCCACGGCACGCAGACGGCGCTCTGTCTCGGCACACTGCTTCACCAGCAGGCGCGTCTGTGGCGGCACGAGAGGCGTTGGCGGCGGTTACCGGGCATCCACTTTTCGATCGATTGGCACGAGGGGGCAAGGGTGAAACGAACTGGACGGGCACACGACTTTTTACCTCCTTGTCTGTCTCCCTTTGCTTGAGGTCCGTGTTGATGTTTTGAACCTTCAGTGCTCTATCGGGCTGCGAAAAGTAAATAAAGAAGGTTAACAAGTGGATCTTTCTCTAAAGTCATTGGCCCAAGGGCAGGTGCATGGCTCAAGTTCCTTCCTTCCCCTCCAATCCCCATGCCCCACACTCTGCAACTCGCAACGTTGTGTTCTTGAGAAATTATTTCAGAACGAAGGTTTGGGGGTGGTTTCCCTTTGACTTATACAACAGTGACTTTAGGTGACATCATCGCCGAATTACACTCAGCATAATTTCGAATGTAGAGATGACAACTACGCATCTTACCGTTCTTGTGCCGGTCTGGTTTGTTTCCAGATTTTATTGCTTGCAAATTATGAGACTTGCTTCAACAATGTACGTAGAGTTAACGCTACATTTGGAAACTGTTCTTTCTACGATTAAGCACCTCGTACATGATTTTTTTTGCAATTTTCACCGTTTTAAACCAACCCATCCAATGAAATATTGCCCTTGCAAATTTGCACGTTCGTGCTTTCGAAATCAAAGTTTAAAATCTCGTTTAAGAAACACATCTTAAGAAAATATGAACTTCAACTGAGAGTTAATTTTTTTACCATTGGTTATTGTTATTGTATTATTTACGTCATAATTGTACACTGTTGTTATTGATATTTTATCACAGATGGTTAGTCTTAGCAGACTCTTACCTGGTTACACATAAAAGTTGAAGACGATGATGACTAACCAAACGGCTCTTTCATGGAACTGCTGCCAAAAGCGGTCCACACCTTTCTCAATCACACAATTCCAGCCGACGACCATCCACAACCACAATCAGTGTCAAATGATGATACTCTGCACCATGTAATAAGAGCGGTCCACGCCTACACACCGTGGTGGCAAGAAACCACATTACTCACGCCTAACAAGGTGTTTGTCTCATACCAGGCAAGAGTTGACGTTGCCGCTTGACTCGTTGCCATGCCTGGGAGCTGCTACGGCAGCAGCGACAGACCTTCTCCCCATCTTGGGCTTCACTTCCATCACCAACCCCGGAGGCTCTGCAAGAGTCGTGGGAGAAACGGCAACGGACATTTTTAGGTGGTCGTTGAAAAGGAATTGCGAGATGTTTAATGTAGGTAACTTCGAAAGTCCAGGCAGGGGACGATGCACTGGCGCTGTGGACATTCAAGCGACGTGTTGAAACTCGCTTGAAGCTCATGTGCGGTGCACATTTCTCAGGCCGGTGACGTGTGTGCGTGTGTGTGCGCGATTTGCAATTGCAGCAGTTTCACGTAGCGTAGCCAACAGCCGTTGGGCTGGCTTAATCGTTCTTTGAGCACAATCTTAACCGTGCCGTTTCGTTTTGCAAATAAAAAACAAGTTAAACTCCCATCAAATTATAGTTAGGACAATTCGCAAAGCAAGCGTTTACTTAGACGTTCGTGTAGGCAAAAGTGAAAGAGTGCGTAACAATAAAGTGTGCCGCTTTCTAAAAAGTATTAATGTGAATCAGGCTGTGTGCAGAATATTACATGGAAATAGTGAAAACATGGATAAACGGAACCCCCTTCCGTCTCTGCATTCAGTATAAATAGAAGTACGTCTCAATCAAATTGGCCTATCATTGGCTTTGGAGGTCCACATTTTCCAGCAGCATGTAAGAATGCTAAATCTAGACCAGTCTCTCGACCTTTTTGCGTTGAAATCGGCATATTTAGGTCACGCTGTTCAACATCTTCTGGGTTTCCAAACGTTATTTCAAAAGAGCTGATCCACAGTCACGCATCACATTAAAAGCATTACATCGTCAGCATCGCAGCTCGGCAAGCAATTGTAGCTCAGCAGACCTGGGATCAATTATAATTGAAATCACGACAGCATTGTTAGCCGAAATTTGAATTCCAATTACACTGCCATAGCAAATTCATTAACAACACGATAACAATTTGCAATTGCCCCCCGGGTCTGGGGCTCAAAGCACTGCAGATGAATTCCATCCGTGGAGCAGTATTGCCCTCTACTGGTCGAGGTACGTTCATTTAGTTATTTAGTTTTAGCGACGTGCCTTTTCTCTATTGTACGCTACTATTAGGTTTTTGTTTGTTGTCGTTTTAACTTGCCTACTGGACATCTGTGAAAAAACACATGAGCTTCATAGCTCATCGGAATCCTCCAGTCTAAATAAAGCTTCCGATTCTGGAGTTTCTCTATGGCCATGACCGAATCATAATACAGCACTGGACACACCAATAAACTTGTGCCCGTTATCAATATATACATAATAAAGTACGTACAGTATACATATTCTCATACACCCACCGGATTATAAGACGCACTCCCAACCATTGATTTAAAATACAAGTGGGGAAAGAGTGAGTCTTGTCCATCCGGAGAATACGGTGTTTGTAGAGAAGATGTAATGAAATCGCCCTTAACGTTACCCAGACCTCACTCAATCTCTGACGTTATGCAGGTTTCATGCTGGCTAGTACTTTTATGGGAGACACCCTGGAAATACCTGGCTTCGAGTTGGTCAGGAAAGAGAAGTATAGTACAGCAATGGATTATTGCATCTATCAGTGTGGAGCTTTGAAGTAATACCCGCACCCTCGTTGCAAATACCACCAACACCAGGGTATTCCTCCAGATTCTCTCACGAACCCAGACTCTCATGGATGATAATTGACAAACATCGCCAGTGTGGCAGGGCACCTCATGAGAATCCAGGAGAGATGTTTTTATTGACACGCTTTTATTTAACTCACTCTGTTGTTGTTGTCGTATTCTCAAGTTTTAACCCACTTCCCAATGTGGTATCGACTGCAAACTTGGTATACTTATGTCATACTGATGACAAAACTATATTCTATCAAAAAATTGTTTTTAAACATTATTTTTTTATATGTTATCTTTCGGCTTGGGTCTAATTGTCCACGCTCAACTGACGTTGGCTGTAAATCACCACGATTCCTTATGTTATGACAAGCCTCGGGGCCACTTCCTGGAGTTCTGCCATTACGAGTAGGGTACATTTAATCAAAGCGTGTTTAATAAAAAGTATTTTAAACATTACTTATTTTCTTGGCGGCCATAACGTTTACTACTTACACGCACAGACATGTCCTTTGTCAATCCAAAATTGAACGAAGGCCTCTTTCCATGCCTGTGGTTTGACCATACTTCACCATCCAGAGGTTTTTTGGGTGAGATCGCGTAAATATATAAATGTGTCGTTAAAACCCGCCACCACCCAACACAGCCAACTAGTGAGGGTTGTCACGTAAACAGAACGTGGCCAATTCGTCACTAGTACAGCACTAGTGTATAGTGTAGTGTATAGTGTATACTAGTACAGCACTAGTGTGTAGTGTATAGTGTAGTGTATAGTGTAGTATACTAGTACAGCACACCGGTGTGTAGTGTATAGTGTAGTGTATAGTGTAGTGTATAGTGTAGTATACAAGTACAGCACACTGGTGTGTAGTGTATAGTAGTGTATAGTGTAGTGTATAGTGTATTATACAGGGGTGTAGTGTATAGTGGGGAGTATAGTGTAGTATACTAGTACAGCACACCGGTGTGTTGGAGAGCCAAGCCACAACATTCACAATCGGAGTACGACGTTTCGCCAGTAATTACAACCAGCTTCACCAGGCGACAGCCAGATTTGTGGAGAAGTCTGTTTCGTTCCTTAATGTAGAGGCGCTTCTGACAACCCTTACTAGTTGGCTGTGTCGGGTGGTGGCGGGTTTAACGACACATTTATATATTTACGTGATCCAACCCCAAAAAAAGCCTCTATTATGGATGATATTGGTCGCGAAAGCCTAAGTGTTAAACATACTTCACCGGTCGGGGTTTGGTGAAGGTGGGGTGGGAGAATTTATACGTGGGAGCACACAAGTACGGTACAACAGTGGATTTTTGCTGCTGTTGCTTTCTGCTGCCCACAACTGAGCCCCGAGAGACAGATGAGAGATCATTAAACAAAACAAACACACACACAGTCAAATGTAACAAGACAAATTCAAGTGTGACAACAGGAATACTGCACGTTCGTTACTGCAAAAACCATCAAAAGATTCTGAACTAAAGAACTACACGACGCAAAAATCAATGCACTTCTTTAGGACATTGTGGTGAAAATGCACATTATTTTTTTTACACGTGATTTTTGATGTTTGAAAACAACTTTAAATGTGTAATAACTACACAAGACACTCACCCGCACTGCAATTCAGTCTCTTCCTCTGTGACCTTGAGACCGGCATGTCGCGATTCTTCACACTTTGTATTATATTTCCTTCGTGGTCCTATTCCCAAGATGTATTCTCACTAACCGCACGGGCGTGCCTATATACTCGTCCCTAATAACCGAAGCACGGGTTCCCCTATATCCCCGCACTGTGACCCTACAGCCTACTCAACCGCGACCTTAAATCTAGACTCGCGTCCCAATCTACCGCAGTGTTATTCCTCTACAGTATCTAGATTAATGTCCTTAATATCCTGTATATATACACACATATACACACGTGGAGCGAGAGAGAGAGCGAGCACCATCTCCCATCACCACACGCCGATTCAAATTGTCCCCCCAACGCCGTTGGTCGTCCACTCGTCCAATCGCGATGCGCGGCGTCGTCCATCTGCGCCACGACTCACAAGGGGGGGGGGGAGATTTTAGCAACTTCTAACTAATTACTTGGTCAACGAAACAACACTATCGTTTAAACATCGGCTCAAAGCAACGCGTAAGCGCTTGATAAACTGGTATCGTAAGCTTACTGAGAGCACGTTACGCGATGATGACTGAAGAGCGATTCACGTACTCACCACCACCCCCCCCTACGGAGTCGGTGACAAATGGTTTGGCCCCACCCGCCGTGGGGTGCGGTGTGGGGGGAGGGGAGGCCGCGATGGCCCCACGTGACCTCATCTGGTGGAGCGAGGGGGGGGGCTGTATAATTACTCCCCCCAGCCCCCCGCAGTGAGTCAATGATTTAATTGTCCATTAATTTCGGAAGCAATTGGACGCGGGCGTGTCGAAGGGTAGTGGGAGGACGTGCATTTAAATATCACGATGTTCCAGACCACGAGCGGCTGTTGCCGTTGCGGCCTGTTGTTGTTGTCGGGTTCTCCACAGCGCCGCCACGTGGCTTCCACGTGGAGAAGGAAGCGCATCTCACATCACCCCCCCAACACTACAAATGTGTGGCGTAAGAAATAAATAAACAATTAAAGAGACTTCCTCCACAACTACCCCCCCCCAACCCAACCCACCGACCCCACCTCGAACGGCAAATGGGACGAGACACGAGCTCAGTAGGGAAGTGTTTGGTGTTGGTGGTAGTGGTTGTGTTGGTTGCTTGGTGGTGGATACGACCCCGAGTCGGCGTCACGGGCCCCGGCAAGAGCACATTTTGTGCAAGTGTGACACGTGGAGCCTTAACGCGAATGTGACACTCGGAGGGGTGGGTAGGGGGGCAGCTTAGGTGCGCAACTTTGGGTCAAAAAAGTGAGCGATAACGATACGCGTTTGATACATAGGCAGCACACACAATGTGGTGAGCTTGTCCGGGTACAGGTGAGCGCAGGTGTGAGCACAGGTGAGCGTGTGTGAGCACAGGTGAGCGCGGGTGTGAGCGCAGGTGAGCGCGGGTGTGAGCACAGGTGAGCGCAGGTGTGAGCACAGGTGAGCGTGTGTGAGCGCAGGTGAGCGCAGGTGTGAGCACAGGTGAGCGTGTGTGAGCGCAGGTGAGCGCGGGTGTGAGCGCAGGTGAGCGCGGGTGTGAGCGCAGGTGAGCGCGGGTGTGAGCGCAGGTGAGCGCGGGTGTGAGCACAGGTGAGCGCAGGTGTGAGCACAGAACCCCAGTGCGGGAGTCGTAGTAGGAGTAGGAGGGGGAGGTCGTCACGGGTATTATAAATCCAAGAGAGAAGTTGCTCGGCAAAGCTTCGGCAGCAGCTACCCAAAGGGTTCCTTGAGCTACGCGGGGAGTGTGGAGCCGAGCATCATGAGTCCGTCTCCTCGCCCGCCGCTCACAGAGCGGCCAGGTGCGGCCAACGCCGGCGACGGCGTGGTGGTGGTGAGTCCTGGCTGCGGAGACTCGGAGTGTGTGGGAGGGCATCATCCACACGCCGTCTTTCGCAAGAACATCTTCAGCGCGGCCAAGGCAGGGTAAGGATTCGTTTTGAAAAAATATTTTGTGGGTGGTGGGGTGGGGTAGTCTCCACTTTAGACGATTTTCATTTATTCATCCTCCCCAAACCCTCCCAGATCCCCCTGTATTTGAAAGTAACATTTTGGGAGTGCGTCTTATAATCCGGTGTGTGTGTGTGTGTAATTGGGGTGGTCGGGAGCGGTGGTGTAGTGGTTAGCGCGACGCTGCGCTACGAACCCGGCGACCCGGGTTCGATTCCCGCTCACGGCACAACACCGGTGATGATTATTTGAACCGGTTCTGGGCCCTCCTCCTAAGGTCAAATCGGACTTGAATGAGTACCTGGTGCGGTGCGTTAAGGATCGCCACTGGGGAGACAAAGGCGGCCGGGCGTGGTGTTGGTTGGCATCCACTCCCTATTGTGCCGTGCCGGTCTTCATAGGTGCTGCTCGCTAACAGCACTTGCGGCAACAGTCTGTTGAAGCTATAAGAGGGGTCTTTGTATATATATACTCTTGTGTGTTGCGAAGACCAGATTTGTCGAGACTTCATTGGCACGAGGAAGACATTTTGGGTGCGTCTTACTTTCCGGGCGCGTCGTATAAAACGATGTAACACTTTTTTGTGTTCCTGGATAGTAAAAGTGTTATTTCGTAATTGCTTATGCCTGAAAAGTATAGAAAATGGCTGTTATTCCCCACAAACTTTGCTTTTGTGACCAGGACAGTGATATTTTTAAATGTACCTTGTGTCTTTTTGTTGACAAAGTGAGAAAAAACAAACATATGAATCAAAATGATCATGTTTTTAAACTAAAGTAATAAAAAAATGACTACAAAAGATTTAGAAGTGAGTAGTTTTTCGAGATTTACGATTATACTGTAAATCACTTTCACGAATCGGCCCCCAAATGTCGTCTCCCATCATGTGCTCGTTTTACTGTCCTTGGTAGCGGCGTTCAAAGTCCAGTATATCCTGGTGGAAGCGCTCACCTTGCTCCTACGAGTACTCTCCCATGTTCTCCTTGAATTTATCAAGATGAGCATCAAGGATATGGACTTTGAGGGACATCCTACAGCCCATTGTGTCGTAGTTCTTCACCAGAGTCTCAACCAGCTCCACATAGTTTTCGACCTTGTGATTGCCCAGGAAGCCACGAACCACTGCGACAAAGCTATTCCAAGCCGCTATCTCCTTACTAGTGAGCTTCTTGGGGAATTAGTTGCACTCCAGGATCTTCTTTATCTGTAGTCCGACGAAGACACCGGCTTTGTCCTTTGCCTCGGAGAGCTCAGGGAAGAAGTCTTGAAGGTACTTGAAGGCTTCCGACTCCTTATCTACAGCTCTAACAAATTGTTTTATAAGGCCCAATTTGATGTGCAGTGGTGGCATCAGCACCTTCCGGGGGTCCACCAGTAGCTCCCACTTGACGTTGTTCCTCCCCACAGAGAACTCGGTCCGCTGTGGCCAGTCCCGCCTGTTGTAGTGCGCCTTGGTGTCCCTGCTGTCCCAAAGGCAAAAATATCAGGAAATCTTTGTAAAACCGCCTTGGAGACCCATCCGGAATGCCACCATTTTGAAGTCTCCGATGACCCTTCCAAGCGTACTCATACATCAAGGCGTCCAGCAAGGTCTTGATGCTGTTGTAATCCTCTTTGAGGTGCACCGAGTGAGCCAGGGGAAGAGACGGGTACTTGTTACCATTATGGAGCAGCTCGGCTTTGAGGCTCCTGGATGAGCTGTCAATGAAGAGGCGGCGACACTCATTCTGGTTACAGGCGATTCCGATTGCCTCGAACAGACTGATCACATTGTGGCAGAAGCAGAACCCATCTTGACAGGTGAAGAAGCTGCAAAAAGGTTGGTGACGCTTCCTCTGATCTGCGACCTGCACACTTTCAATCAACAAGTTCCACTGCTTGAGCCTAGACGTCAAAAGCTCGGCATTTGTCTTAGTGAGACCACTATCTATGATCAAGTCGTTGAGGTCTTTTTGGTTGGGGTAGTATTGGTTTCTCTCCCTAGCTCCACCTCTGAAATTGTCATCTGGATCTACAACGTCTTCCTCGCTCTCTGACTTGCTGCTCTCTTCTAAAGACTGCTGCTCTCTCTCCGGAGGAGTGGGTACAGGGAGCTCATGGCAGTGTGGCACCGGGGCGATGGATGAAGGAAGGTCCGGATACGTGATAGCAGGTGCATTCTTGCCAGTCTGACGTTTGGAAGGGTCATCCAGCAGTGAATTCTCCAGTTCACCTCCCTCCCCGTCGCCTGGGCTGCGGGCCCCTGGTGCAGTTGCACTGCCTACACGCTCAAAAGCTGTGCCCACGGCCTCGAATTCAGGTCTGTCACAGCCACTGGGCCTTTGAATGTACAAGTGAGGGCCACTTTTCAAAAGCTGTAATCTTACACCTGCGCTCCTGTCACCAGACACTTGACCGGGAATTTAACTCGTACTGTGCTGAACACTGCAGCCGAGCCTGGGCCTGACAATACAGGGCTAGTCTATATAAACGTAACCCACCAAAACCCATCAGCACCATCAGCCATGGTTAATCCGCTGCTAAATGAAGCCTTTCCCTAAGCCGTAGCCGAATCGCACGATCCTGCGATGTAACATCCATCCAGCTTGTGCACGCGAGCTAATTTCATGTCTAGTGGTGGTGTGCTAATAGGTGCTCGCTAGCAGCGCATGCCCCAACGGGGTGCAAGGCGGCAACCCAAACGTGCGGCATGACCAAATTAATTCGTTCATTACTTCAGTCATACCCATACTTAGCCAGGTTAGGGTCAATTGAGACAAAGGGCGTGAATTATTAATCGTGCATTCATGACCTGTGTGGTGTGGATTGCGCATGTTAGTCCTGTCAAGTTTGAATTTAAGTACAATAAATAAATAAACACTAATCTACAGCCCTCTGCCATTCCACTGCTTGACGAAGGCCCTCCCTATGCCACGTTGGTCATTGCGGTTGTTTGACCATACTTCACCATGCTGGTCAGTGTGCATTGGTGAATAGTGGCGGGGGAAGGTGAGAAGGGGTCCAGGACCGGCTCCGATATCACTCGCCACTGACGTTGGCCATGGCTGGAAATTGAACTCTGCTCACTGGGTTCACGCCATTGGGGACAAACCACTACTCCATCCCATAGTTTAGTTGAGTTTCCTGACCGTATGATTGCAGTTATGAGATGTCTGAGGGTCCACTGTGTATCATACATGTTTTTCCTCAAGTGGATTTTAAGATACTGCTATTAACCGATAAGGCTTTAAAAGGGGTCGCTCCACATTACTTGCAGGAACTAATACATTATATTCCATCAAGGTCCTTAAGATCTTCTGATTTCCCAATTGGTCAGCACTCCCAGGTCAAGGTTGCTCTCTTTTTGATGATCGGGGCTTTTGTTAGCATGGCACCCAAACTATGGAACGCCTTGCCACTTGAAATCAGGGCAATCGGAGTCGGTAGATATATTCAAGTGTGCTTTGAAAACCCATCTCCTTATACTGGCCTTCCCTCTTTAGTTTGGTCGGTTGCCCTGGTTCTGTTTTCGTTTCCTGCTTTTCATGCATTGCGCATTATACATTTAAATTATCACTAATCACTTATCTGTTCTCTGATCCATGTGTTCCTCTTTTTGTCTCCCAGTGTAATTCTCATCATGCATCTCTCCTTGCTTCACTGCACACATTTCAGCTTCACCTTCCATTCTCTTTGTCGGTGTCAAAACGTTTCCGATCCATGTCATAGCTTGCGATGGGCACTGGTTGAAAACTTTCCTGTTCGGGTGCAATGGTACATCGCTTTTCAGAATCACATAAAAAAATTGAAAATCACTTCAACACCGCTCTCATTCACTTCTTTATTTCATAATTTTGATCCTGAAACTCAGCGCCGCTACTGTCAATTTCCTGCCCCTCGTTTGCAAGTCCAGGTTCAAGGTCTTCCTGTTCTCCTCTGCCTATGGACTGTCCTATAAAACAAACATGGCCGCTGTTTCCGTACAGTCTCTCGATAAGGAAGAAACGTGCGTTTTAGAGAGTATTTGGCTACTCGAAATTTCCACATAAGCCACCTCTTTGAGCTATCATTTGTGTCCAGGTCGCTTCTGAAAAAAAGAGCTATATAGTTCTCAGTGGGCCTTACCTGGTAAATTACAAAAAAATAGTTTAGTTTTTATATTTGTTTAAGTGGTCACATCGTTTAGACTCGACTATAAATACGCTTTCATTGTGCTGCGTTGCACGTTACGTTGTTGTTACGGTGCGTGTCGGTCTATTCGCAGCTATCCAAGCATCTCCATGCTGTCGGTGCCCTCGCAATCAATACTAACCACTCGCATCCGTTGTGTAATTATCCTGCACACTCATTGTTTGCCCTTCGGCTTATTACGCACACACGACCGCCAAGGGCAACGATTAATAAAGCCTTTTATTGTGTTGACATGAACGGTCTTTATTTTATTGGCACACGTTCGCGGTTCTAAACTGTGCAATGTTAATATTTGATCGTGGTTGCCCAGATCGCCAACGGCAAACTCTCTCTAGCTCTCTTGCATCACGTCCCTACGTTTCGCTCCGCGTGCTGGGAGCTCGTTGAGGAACTGGAAGGGAACAAAAACAACCCCAACCTGGAACTGGATTCGGATCGTGAGGAAGCTCCAGGCACGCGGAGTGAAAACTTGGGACAACGCGCAGTATAACCACAAAACGCATCGGAGGGGTGCACAGCCCCAACCGCGAGACCCTAGGCCAGGGGCGGGGAACCTTTTTTCTGCCAAGGGCCATTTGGATATTTATAGCATCATTCGCGGGCCATACAAAATTATCAACTTAAAAATTAGCCTGTTATATTTGGTCAAACATCTAATTAACTCGCCCCTAATGTGATGGCTGGAATTGCTTCTCTTTGGCGAGGCGTGTGATGTTAGCTGGTATTGATGATGTTGCTACTCGCAACTGCTTTTCCAGGTTTGCTCCTAGATTTATTGAATTTCGAGCCCGGCAGGACCATACCAAATGATTTTCGGGCCTTATACGGCCCGCGGGCCGGACGTTCCCCACCCCTGCCCTAGGCAGTGGAACAAATGCCCACCACCGACTCGCCTGGGTGAGTGGTGGCGAGTGCCGCCTGTTAATGTAGGGGAAAGTGAGCCAATGCTACACACCTTTTACACCTTGCAATGCAAAGTAAAGGACACTTGCATTTCGCAAGGTGATATGAAACCAACCCTTTAAGATCAACCTAAAACACGGCCTTGTTTTGCAAGGGTGTCTCGGGGTCAAATCACGAGTTTAAGTACGAAACCATAGGAGTATAACAAAGCATCGGTACCAATAAACCTGAACGACAAAAACACCAGAAACTGCAGTGAAATTCCACGATTATGTCTGGAACAACATGACTCGGGTGAGGAAAGCGCCTGGGATTTTTTTTTTGTTCAATGCCGGGGCGCGAAGAGGCCTTCGTTCAGCAGTGGATTGACGAACGGCCGTAAACCAACGTTCACAATTGCTGCCACGAGCTTCATTCGAGCACAAAGCACCGCGAGTGACGCGTGGCCGGGTAGTTGGCGCTGACAATGGCACCGACGCGGTAATCGCCACAGACACGCGGGCGCACACCCACGCGTGTTTGAACGCTAGTTGCCGTTCTTTCTCCGACGGACGCGCACGGCTCTGCTTGTTCGCGCATGAACCGAGCCGAGACTGGTGATGGGGGCCGGGGGGGGGAATACGGCTACGGTTGCCACCTCCTGTGGCTACGAACAAAAACATTTGCGTGTGTATGTATGTTGAACTTCTTTCGCACCGTACGTAGACAACCGTGCCAATCGGAGGTACGGGCGAAGGACGTCAAACTAAACGCAAAAAAGCAGTTCTAAAAGAAAGGAGTTTCCAATCTAGCAGAATATCTCACAATACCAGAAGAGCGGAGAACGACATGTAAATGCATCGTCACGGGTCGCGTGTTATTATGCAAATGGTGAAAAAAAAACAAATGAGGCTTTTAACGTCCTGATAGATTTCCGAGGACAGCTGCCTCAACAAGAGGACGATCCAGGGAAATGCTGGACAGGTGGCAATCCTAAAGGGGGCACAGCCCCCGGCAAGCTGACAGCTCGTAGATTGCCGATGGCCGTACTGACAGATGGGGACAATGCGAAACAAACTGAACTCTGACTCTGCTGATGAGACCCAGAAGGTTGAAACCAGCCCAGAGTTTGTTCACTTACACTAACGTCGCTGTTGACTATTGGTCGGCAAAGCCAATAAGGCAATAGGCTGAAGAATTAAAAACTGCTTTATATGTCGAGTGACGGAACAGAGTTTCTGCATGTATTAGATTTTACCCATAATGCTCCACAACAAGGGATACTTAGTTTGTATATCTTTAAAGTTATGGCATTGGCTAAACAGTCCAATGAAGCAGCACCCTCCTGACCAAGAGCCCTGAGACTCAATGGGCCTTTCCTGGGTAAACAATCGACACGATCATCCAGCAGTTGCTGTTGATGCGAGGGCTGACAATTATTCTTGTTATATGTAATTGTGTAACACGCCAAGAGACAAACGCTTGGAATTACACGGCGAGACGGGAAGAGGCACGCGCGGATCGGAGGAACAAAACGCAAGTCGACTTGCGACGAGTTAAGTGGGCACGGGCAGGACACGTCACCTCTTGAAGCGTGATGGACTGTGGTTGACCCTATCGATGGAGCGGCAGCCAAACAAGGCAACAGGCCCGAGAGGCGACGTGGGCGCCCGCCGCGGTGACGGAGCGATGAAATAGGCTCGCGTGGGGAGCTACGCAGATTGTTGCATCCCAGGACAAATGAGAGACTGCGATGGCTTGGCAGCGGATTGACAATTGTCTGTACCTTGTACCAGGAGCGAACGGGCGCTTTGAATTGAGATTAATTAGTTGGCTCGGACAGTTCTAGCCTACTGGCGCAAACACACCATGCGTGTGTGTGTGTAAATACATTGTGCTTTTGTCTTTGAGTACATCGCACAGCGGTTAGCGCACTGCGCTATGAACCCAGCGATCCAAGTTCGATTCCCGTTCGCGACCAACATCGGTGACAAATATCTGATCCGGTCCTGGGCCTCCCCTAGGTCGACTCAGCCTTAATTGAGTACCCGGTACAGTGTGTAAAATCGTCAGCACTGGGGGGAGACGAATGCGGCCCGGCGTGGTGCTGGCCACCCGCCCCCTCGTGTGCCATGCCGGCCTTCGTAGGTGCTACACGATTAACAGGACTTGCCCCGGCAAGTCTGAGGCTGTACGGGGCATGTTTGTCTCCTGTAATTGTGACTCCGTGATGCTGCACACTGTATAATCGGCACACGTGCAATTAACGCAAATCTCTGCCTTGTCTGCCAGTAGGGATTTGACGGCGGCGGCGGATGTGACTGCAGATTTACGAGCGACACGGCAGTAATACCATGCGCTGTCATCATCGTTGTCGTCGTCGTCATCGTCGCCGATGACGACGATGAAGGCCTCCCCCAATCCATCGCCATCTCCTCGTGGTCCAGCAACGAGGCGGCAGGCTGGCACAGTGATAACACTTGCGCCTCGCAGCAAGTTGCGCCTAGGTTCGATTCCCCCCCCAAGCAGAAAAAAATGGTGATGTGTGTGGCGGGGTAAAGTGTGGGTACCCCTGCCTCTTGTAAGACGTCTGGTTAGGTGCTCCAGTGGAGGCCCTTCCAGCAGCAGTGACGTGAACAATTAATTGCAGGGCTGCGCCTTTACCAACTTTTGCTGATACCTCCGTTATCAAGATGGTGTGTGGTCAGCTCTTTCAAGGCGGTGTGTGGTCAGCAGTTTTGTGAAGTTGTCAGTCTTAAGGTCGAAGTCGCCCAACGCTCGTTTTCTCTGTTGGGCAGCGGAGCATCTGGGCTATCAATACTAGTGAGCCAGTGCTGAGATTGGCCCTTCCGCCAGCAGTGATGGCAGGAATGCACCTTGACCCACCTGTACCACAGGCAAGTAAAGCCAGACCCAGGTCGCACGATGGGACACGGACCGAGGCTAGCACCCATACTAATCCCCCCCCGCCTCTGTCTCCTCCCTGCAAGGCTTTTTTTTGTGAGTCTCAAGTTTATGCAAAAAAATAAAAGCGCCGCAAAAAAAGCAAAGGCGTTGGGCGCGCGAATAGAATAGATGAGCGACTCGGACACCGGCCTGGTCCGCTTTCAACACGGCTGGGTCTGTGTGGGAGAGAACGACCACCAGAGTCATCGCTTTTTCTTGAAAGTCAAGCGGAGGAGCCTTGGCGTTGCTGCGTAAGCCAAACCTCCCAACCCCCCCCCCCCCCCCCCCCCCCCACACGGAACGTGGTGGCGTCGATGCGAGCAAGTGCATCGCGATCGCCGACCGGACACTCGATTCCCGTAGCCGGCTGCCGAGTTGCGCAGTGATTTATCAACGGTGCACCCTCTCGCCCGCCCGCCCGCCCGCTGTAATAATAGGCGGGATGCCCGGAACGCCCTCTGATGTCAGACTCAGAATTGGAATATTTATTTGTACAGATGTCCAGTAGGTGCGGGTCAGAATGTTACAGCAACAAACGATACAAAAACACGATAGGGATGCAAAGTAGAGGAAAGGCAAACAAATTGCCAAAAAATATACAAATAAAACGAAACTATTTTTATTCTACCACTTCAAAGCCCCACCCATGGTCGTTTGCATCTGGCCAACCTCTCGAAGCTCACATTTTGACAACGAAAATAATAACACAAGGTTGAGAAAAATTCTTACTAGAATTTATAAACTGCAGAGACTTTAACGGAGATTAAGGCCACCAAAGGAGATGAGCACGACTGCGTGGTTGTTGAAGCAGACACACTTTGACTTATTTGTCGACATCAGGAAACCATCAAGACATTTGTTTACACATTTATATCCATTCATCGGTCATGGCCTCTCCATGCCATATTGCTCACGAGGGTTCATTGACCAAACTTTACCCCGCTGGTCAGTGAGGGTTAGTGGCCCTGGACTGATTCTGGTGAGGCCCAGGTCCGATTTGGATGTCGGATCACTGATGTTTGATCGTGGCCAGGAAATGGACTCGTGTTTCCAGGTTCATAGTGCAGTGTGCTAACCGCTGCGCCACCGCTCCACCCCACATTTAGTTGTTTTAAATCGGACGGAAAGAAAATTATAAAAATGGAATACTGTCATGGCATCACTATGGTTACCCAGGTCACACTTGTGAAGAAATAATCTCAACGGGCCCCAGGCTGGCTTAAGGACATGAGTTTATTTATAATAATAAACCATCGTGCATTGTGTGGACTGTATGCGATAATTGCATATGCATTTAAAGTACATTCGCATATGGCCACGGCTTCATTTCACCCGGAGCTGTCCAGAGCTGAGCTCTGGAAAATATTTCCCTGGGGGTTTGAGGGCCACGGGAAAATATTCCGCAAAACATTGATCCATACATATGAATTTTACTCTAATGTACTTGCAGTCAATGCCATTTAAACAAACCATGATTAATAATAATCCCACGTGGATTGCAGAGTGGCAGTTACGATGCAGGAGGTCGTGGCACAGAAGAAAGTTGGGTCGGGGAGGGGTCATCGCCGTGGCAGTGAACGGTCTCTCAGACTGGAAGTTGCTCATAGAATCGATGGACCGCTCGATATCGCATCGAGCCATGGCGCACACGCGAACTCCGTCCGTGCGCTTGGAACACGATACGCAGTTTCTTGCGCCGTGTGTCGCGGACCGTTGGCTCGGCCAACCGTCTTCATGAAGCCGCCCCCTAAAGTTCCCATGGTGTAGTGTTTTTTCCCCGCGGCTGACGGGTGCGGTGCATCGGAATTCGCATGCAGTGCAGTGTGCGATCGATGGTGCCATAGTTTGCGCACTGGACGAGGTCGCCAGTTTGAATCGATCTCTCTTGGCACACCAGATGAAACAACGGTGCAGGTTTCTTAAATCCTTCTCCCCCTGGGGGGGTGGGTGCGATCTTTGTTTTTGCGTGACCAGGAACCTGCCTCTGTGCCAGGAGATCGTGGAGTCGGAGGGCATCGCGAGCCTCTCTCGGCGCGATGCGGCGGGCCACACGGCCGCTCACTGGGCCGCCCTGGGGGGCCACGTCACCGTGCTGCGGTACTTTGCCGAGTGCGGCAGGCGGCGGTGGCGGCGGCGGCACGGGCGCGACCCTCGCGGTGAACGCGCCGAGCGACGCCGAGCCGGGCTCGCGGCCCATCCACTGGGCGGCCACCAACGGGCACGTGGCGGCCATGGAGGCGCTGCTGGTGGCCGGCGTGCCGATCGACGAGCCGGACCAGCGCGGGTGCACGCCGCTCGTGGTGGCGGCGCAGTTCGGGCAGACGGCGCTCGCCGGCTACCTGCTGGGGCGCGGCGCGGCGCTGCAGGCCTGCGACACGGAGGGAGACAATGCGCTGCACTGGGCGGCGTTCAAAGGTTGTTGTCGTCATCGCCGTCGTGTTTTGTCCGAATGGTTTGCACCGATGTAATAATCGTGAATGGAACGGCGGCAAAAATAGTGCCGAAATGACGGGCAAATACTTCCACATCGCAGGGGAACCGTAGTAGCGACATGATGATAGCTGGTGCCAAACTGTGCCACACGCGCCCCTCCCGCATGGTCTTGTGGGAGCCCTCAGTATGTCTTCCAACATGAGGACGTACCGATAAAGATATTACATTTTTTTGTTTCTCTTTCATTGCCGTTCTGATAATGTACATGCACGTCATCGGAACGGGAAAGGGTTAATTAATATTATGCTTGTTTACCAAAATACAGGCGGTCTCTGGTTTACAAAAGTCTAAATTACGATGATCAACATTCATGACAATTATATAATGTCATCATGGATCAATTTGCAACGCAGAAACTTTAATTCACGACGCAACTTCCGACACTGAACGCATTTGAACGGAGTCGGTCCGGATTCCGACGTGACTTGGCGTAGAGCTTTTGTTATTCTCGAGTGTTTGTGTGGATCTTGAACGAATAAACACCGTTAAATATGACCGATTTTAAAAGGAAACATAAACACATCAGCAAGCGATGTTTTTTTACTGTTTGTACTGTCGACGGGGACCGCCTGTAGATCCGGAGCAAATCCCGACCGAACGTGAAAGTGGGGAGGACGCTCACGCTCAACATGGGGTTCACGGATGGATCACCGTGCCGCTGTTTCATCTCCTGTACTGGTGCCAGATTAATTTGTCTGGCCGTGTCAGATGGCGAAGGGGGGGGGGAGGGGGGGTCTTGTTGGAAAGAGTTGCGATGATCCATCCGTGTGCGCGATGTTTTTCGAAGCACGCTTATGTTTGTGACCAAATTGCCGGGAACTCCCCAGATCTCGCCAGCTCGCGGGAAGCTAAGCTGGGTTGAGCCCGGATAGACTTTGTGTGGGTGGTCGCCATGCATAACAGGTGTTATAGGCTTCTTCTGCGGGGCCATGCGGTGGGCAGCAGAGGCCTGGTCAGGAAAATCTATCGTTGTTACTGTACCTATTGCACCTTGCCTTCGCCACCCCGCACTGACCAGCGTGGTGAAGTATGGTCAACCCCCAAGACCAACAAGGCATGGGGAGAAGCCTTCATACAGCATTGGATTAACAAAAAGCGCTGTACATGTGAATGCAAAGGGGCATTACTGTAATTTTTCTTAATAATTAATTAATTATGTGTATGTATGTTGAACTTCTTTCGCACCATACATAGCCAACCCGTGCCAATCGGAGGTGCAAAAATCGTTTTCTCAAAAACAACGCAATTTCAGATTTCAAAAAATGTCGATGGCCTTCGGCCCACGATGACGAGCACACGTCGAGATATTGTAAAACCGGGCCGGCGCCCTTGCGGCTCGACGCCGAGAGAGTTTGTGGCAAAAACGGCAACAAAAAATAAGAAACCGGCGCGGGCGTTTGGCGGGTAGCGTGAGCCGAGCGTCGCCGTGTGTGACGCTCTTCTCTTCGGCAGGGCACTGCGAGCTCACCCGCCTGCTCACCTACTCGGGCTTCAACCCCCGGCAGACGGACAAGTTCCAACAGGTGGGTGCGGGAGAGCCGCGACAGCCGCCCCGTTTCACGCGCGCTTGGGAAATCCCGTGGGTGCGTGCGTGCGTGTGTGCACTTGTATGTAGCTTGCGCGCGTGTGTACGATCGCTGCGGGGAGCGGTAGTGCAGCGGTTGGCGTGCTGCGCTACAAACCTGGCGACCCGGGTTCGATTCCCGCTCACGGCCAACACCGGTGACGATTATCTGAACCGGTCCTGCGCTTCCTCTAGGTCGACTCGGCCTCAAATGAGTACCTGGTGTATTGGTGTGTAAACATCGCCACTGGGGAGACAAAGGCGGTCGGGCGTGGATCTGGCCACCCACCCCCTCGTGTGCCTTGCCGGACTTCGTAGGTGCTCGCTAACGGCACTTGCCCCAACAGCCTGCAAAGGCTATTCGGGGGATATTTTGTGCGCGCATTGTGAACTGCAAGAGGCTGAAAGTAGAAAGTGATCACAAATGCACGCCAAGGGAGTTGAATTGCAAATACACGTACAGTTAACGGCGGCACAGTGCTGGGGGACATGACCTTTGTGTTGGTTGACTGTGTGGCCGTTCCAAGCATTGTGGAGTGTGGGTGAACGCACACGTGTGTGTTTGTATTGAGGGCGGTTGTTCAGTGGTGTCTCCAAGCGCTGCGCTGCAAACCCGGCGACCTAGATTCGATACCCCAGTCATGGTCTAACTTTCGTGGCGAATTCTATCTGAGCCTGCCCTGGGCAGGTTGACTTGGCCTTAAATGAGCGTTTGGTGCAATGTGTTATTATCAGTCACGATGAAGACAAAGCTGGCTTTCTTTTCTGTTTGCCACATGACTCCCACGTGTGCTATATGCGGGCACTAATAGGTGCTCGGTGACAGCACCAACCCCAACTCACTCTCTCTGGCTGAATGGGGAGTCGTTCTTTTATGTATGGAGCAGTGGCGTAGGTCTGAGCACATTACGCTATGATCCTAGGCACCCGGATTCCATACCTGCTCTTGATTCACTCCACTGGTAGCAATTATAAACTTTATTTGGTTTGGGCCACTTGTAGGTCAACTCTGCCTAAAATCAATATCTGGTAAAAAAAAAAACATACTCCTCGTCTGGTGCACGAGGTTCTGGCCACAGCAGATTCTTGGGCACTGTGCCAGTCATAATAGGTGCTCGCTAACAGCACTTGCCTCGGCGGTCTGTCTCACAACGTAAGGTGCTCGCTGTGTTTGTCTTTGTGTGTGCAACTGGAAAGGATTGGCCAGGCGGTGTGGGGGCGGAGGGGAGAGAATGTTGTCCTGGCAGGTATTGAGGATGTGGCGAGACTCGGGCCACGGCGATGTTAAGATGACCTGTCTGATTTGGTCGCCCGGGTAACGTGCACGGTAATTGCGTAGTCATGTGATTGTGTTACACTCGGAGACGGGAAGAGGCGGAGCACACGTTTCAGGGAGCAGATGCAAATCTGAGACGTCGTGTTGTACGAACTTCTTCTTTGGCGCCGTACATCGCCAACCGCGCTAATCGGAGGTGCGGAGAAAGGACAACAAACTGAACACAAGCAGTTCTAAAGAAATGCGTTTTCAATCTATTATTATAAAAGTGCACAGTTCCAGTGGCTTCCTAATATTGGAAGGAAGAGCGTTCCAGACGGCCGCAGAAGCGCATCTGAAAGCGCCGCGCGATGCGGTGACCGCCGTCAGTGTTCGATGGCCAGTCACAAGTCGCCGCTGTGAGGATGAGCAGAGTTCGCGTGATGGTGGCTTATGCGACTTGACGAGATCGGCAAGGTATCGTGGTTCAGTTGCGGCAAGAACTTTGTGTGTGTGCCACGAGTGCGACCTTACAATGTGTATCGCTTGGCATCCGGAAGTCAATCCAGCTCAGCGAGCACTGGATGGGCGGACACGGGTGGTGTTGAGTTATGACCAAGTTGTAAAGCGGGCTCGTGCTGGACACGCCATGGCTAGTGGAGGGAGGACGATGGCCTATGGACGAGACTAACGATGGAACGGCAGCCAAGGGGGTGGGACACGGCAGAGAGCGCACGTTCGCTGTGGAGACGGAGCGATGAAATTTGCTCGTTTGGGGGCGAGGTGGCTTGCCGCTCTTCACCAAACACGCACTGACTGGCGTGGTGAAGTATGGTCAACTATCCCATTTTTTTAATGATCACAAAATAAAAAATTATGAGATGAACTGCATGAGGATAACTCTCTATGGGCAAATCTCAGCAAGTCACTTCTTTTGGTTTGTGAGGCAGCATTTGTGTTTACATTGCCAAGGAATGTCAGCAATGCTTCCTCAGCGACAAATCCATGAAAAAATGTTGAATGCCCAGCTCTACGAACACAAACAGACGCAAGTAAAATATTTGTACGAGCCCGGCCTACGTGTTCCTATCGAGTCCTGCGCCCACACTCCTTGAGGGTTCCGATACTCTGAGACGGTCCTTCCCTTGCAGCAGGTTGAGTCTCCGGAAGGAAAGGGGAGGAATTGCTCGGTTCGGGAAGCGATTGTAAAGTTTAAAAGCAATACAGAAATTAAAGTTGTTACGATTGATTTTTATTAAATGATACGTATAATCTTCTTGGTTCTTTCGGTAAAGTCACGTAGAAGGGAGATAATAATAAAAATAAAACATAATAAAATAATTCTCACGACGTTTCGGCCACAACGCAAGCAGCCGTCCTCAGGTGAAGACCAGGTCTTTCGGGGAGACGCTGACGCTGAAACGTCGTGAGAATTATTTTATTATGTTTTATTTTTATTATTTTATTATCTCCCTTCTACGTGACTTTACCGAAAGAACCAAGAAGATGAATCCCTGCAGTCACGAAAGCTTTAAATCGATACGTATAATATTATAATAATGTTTAAAATAGTCCGTGTGCCGATTATGGGCGGAATATTACATGGCAGGATCGTGAGAGGTGGTGAAGGTGGCGTGGGAAGGCCTTCATCCAGCAGCGGATTGACCATGGCTGATGGTGATATAGCGGCCTCCCCCGTGCCGTGTGGGTCCGCGTTGTTTATCACTATTGCGGAGCGAAGGCGCCCGACTCCAAATCGGCATCGTTGAAGTTGTAATTGTTAATGAACTAATGTTCCTTGATTTGTCAAAGTTATTACAAGAACTCGGGGTGGGGGGCGGGGGGGGGAACGAAACTATCAGAAGGAGGGAATTGAAAGGTGGAGCAGTACGAGGGAAGAGAAGCGTTGTGATCTGCGGTGTGTCGGTATATTTGTTGAACTTCTTTCGCGCCGTACGTAGTAGCCAGCCGTGCAAATCGGCGGTGCCGGCGCGGTGGTGGAACGCAGCGTGGGCGAGATGACGCGGTCGGTGTGTCCGGTCGATTGGTGCACCGCCGCCGACGCAGCAGCGTCACCAAATGATTTTCTGAATAAAGAAAAAAAGAAAGGACGACCGTGGGTGGATCGTAGTGACCGGTCACAGCAGAGATCTTCAGTCTGTCGGCTGCGCTCGGACGTTGGACAAAGAGGCGGTGGCTTCGTCGGACTGCCCGTGTCCACTGCGTGTTCGGACACGCGCGGTAGCAGACCCAAACACGAAGCGCCCAATCGTTTAGGATTTATAAGCTGGCGCGGCGATGGTGACAGCGGCGGTGGCGCGTGTCGTGTCGTCGCCGTGACCATGGAGGCGACCTCGAGGGAGGCGCTCCGAACAGAACGGAGCTTTCTGTTGGGCCCCCGCGTTGGCAGGACCCCCGGCAGACCTGGTCCGCTTTTCGTCAAAATCCGAACCTTTATTTAGACTCGAGGAATCCGATGAGATGTCCAGTCAGAGCGAGTCAGGACGTTGGCGTTTGGTGCACCACTGCTGGCAGAAGGGCCACAGCCCCTCCGGGAGGGCATTTTGGCCGACTCTCTTTTATTATTGAACATTGACGTATGTTCTTGCAATATTTTCGATACGGCGGGTGATGCAGTTTCTGCGCCGATTTTCTATTCCGCTTCATCGCCGTGCTTTATTTTGATTTGTTTTCGCTTTTGTCATTGTGCTGGACGCGGGTCGTTCTCTTGCAAGCGAGACTCATCCTTGCTTTCTTGAGTTCATACTTGGCGAAACAGAACAAACCTGAAACTCATAATAACAACAACAAAAATACATTTTGTTCCATAAATAAGGATGCACTGATTTACTGACGGCATTCCGGTAGTGCGCTCGTGGTACGAGCGACAAAATCGCGTCCGTAACGATCCATTCGTTTACAAATCGTGCAAATTTACACCCACGTACGCCCTTGCGAAACAACACCCATCCTGGCTCTCTAGAAAAGTGAAACGAAACGAGTGGTTTTCTAAGGCTGCGTGCGCCGGACGTGACCTTGTGAGTGTCTGTTCTGTTCCCCTGCGTGCCGCACAGACCCCGCTTCACCTCGCCGTGCTCAGCGGGGACCTGCTCACCGTCAAGCTGCTCTGTGAGCAGGTATGTACCGTGGGGGGAGGGGGGGGGGCACGCATGGCGTGGGGGGCACGGGGGTGTGGGGGCGGTGGGCAACCGCGACCAGAGCAGGGAGCGGTATCGGTGAATCCAGGAAAGCCTTGCCGAGTCTCGAGGCTTGTTGTCGGGGAGGTCCCGCTACATCGGAATGTTTGGCCGATGCTGTAATTTTACTGAGCTCGCGTGGCTTCGTGCGGGAAGCCAACCGGAGGTGCCGAGAGACACGCGCCCCAACGCTCTCACCAGGGGCGGGCGTGGGGGAGGTGATACTCTGAAACGTCTGCCGCACAGACGGATTCATGAAACCCTCCTTGTTGCACTGCCATCTCCCAGCCACGTCGCAGCTCGCTAGGAGGGGGTGACGGGCGGGGGGGGGGTGTGAGAGGCTTCATCCAGCAGTGGATAGATGCATCGCCGATACTGATGATCTCCGCGTGCGTGCGTGCGTGCGCGCCCGCGTAGGATGAGGTGGAGCTGAACGTCATGGACGCGAATGGGAACACGCCGCTTGCGCTGGCCCAGGGCCGCAAGTACGGGGACATCGTGGCCTACCTCGCCAAGGCGACCGCACGCTCGCGCAGCCTGCTCCAGTGCTGCGACCTCAGGTGCCGCACCGGGAATCGCCATCCTGGGTCAAGAGGTCAACTGTTGGCCAACCAATCAATCGAGCTCAAGCGATCACAAATGAATGTTCATTTAAATATGACGTCAAAGATTTGATTGTACCTGCAGCATTCATGATTAGGAGTTGGTTTCAGAAGCAGGGGGCATTGCCACTAAGCTCCCTCCACCCCCCCACCCCTCATGATTTCAAACAACTTCTAGGACCCACCAAGAGGTCGGCGCTCGCTGATACCAACGTGCAACTTGCAGCGTAAAGTGTCGTCCATTCCAGTAAAGCCAAACTCCCTAAACCCTTGAAAGGGCATTGTAGGTATTCATATTCCTGGTTCTTTCGGTAAAGTCAAAATAAAAAATACAAATAAGATTTTAAATAATGAAAGCAAAACACCCACGACGTTTCGATCGCAACATAAGCGGTCTTCATTAGGCGGAGAGACAAGAGGGGGCAAGCCTCCAAATGTAGCAGCTACATTGTGGATTCTTTGTTATTATTATTTTCATTTTTTTTCTATTTAATTTTTTATTGTGAGTTTTTTGCTTTTATTATTTTCAATTTATTATTTTATTTTTATTATTTTTTTTATTTAAAATTATATATTTTTTATTTTTTGTTTTCTATTTACGTGACTTTACCGAAAGAACCAAGAATATAAATTCCTGCAGTCACGAAAGTTTGAAGGCCTTGTAGGGCAGCGAGCAGAATCTGCATGAGTGCGTGGGGAGGCAGATGAGGGCGGCAGCGTCGAGGTAACGGCCGTGGATGCCGCGAGATTTCCGCCACGAGTTCCGCGACAGGGCTCGAACACACGTGTCACACGCACGCACGCGCTGTGCGCGAGATGTGTCGCACGCACGCGCTGTGAGCAAGACGTCAGAGCCAATTCCATTGGTTCTTTCTTCGCGGAGGTTTTCGCGACCCAGAAATTACGATTCGTAATTGGGCTTTTTGAGTCGGACTATTTGGTCATTGCCGGAACTCGATTCGAAGATCGTATTGTTGTTCATTGTTGCGTGGCTTCTACCTCCACCCCCCCCCCCCACTTCCTCCCAACTCCACATGCAGGAGCCTGGTACTGGGGCCTCCCGGGAAGTCAAAGGCCCCCGTGATGTTCTTCTACTGCACGCTGCTGCTGTGGGGTTACCCCACGTACGTCCTCCACGTGAGTGCACGGCCGCGCACACTCCACCAAGCTGTCGCTTCTCTGGTAACCTCGCTCTGCAGTTGCGTTTTGACTCCTTGATCCGTGTGACTCTTTACATTATCTGTGTTTGTGTGTGCTTTTAGCTATGGGAGGGAAAACAGGAGAATCCATAGGAAAACCTACACAGTAGAGGGGGAGAACATACAAACTCCACGCACAAGGGCACCCGGGTCGGCATTCGAACTTAGACCCATCTTGTGGCGCGGCACCAGTGCTACCGCAGCGCCAGCCCGCCGCTCTCCTCCACCCCTTCCCGCTGGACCATCGTGCCACCTCCGACCTGACTTCGTCGCCCCTTTGCCCCTTTGCCCCTGTCGCTCACGGTCCGATCCAGGTGCTGCCCCTGACGCTGCTGGAGATGAAGGCCGTGAACGTGACGTTCGTAGCGGGGAACCTGGTCATGTGGTACTCCTTCCTGCGTGCGTCACTCTCTGACCCCGGGTTCCTCCCGCAGAACAACCCCGACTACGACCACGCCATCAAGCAGGTGCGTGCGCCGTAGCCTGGCACAAGCGCCATGGTGACGTCACCGCCACTCGGTGGCGAACGGCAGTTTTCGTCGTCGTCGTCGTCGTTCGTTGTTGTTGTCGCGTCATGCGGCTGGGTTGGGGAGACCCATGGCGCTCAGACCGTGGACACGCTCGAGGTGCAGGGTACAGCCCTGCAATGTCCCGCTCATGCCACCGCTGGCAGAAGCGTCCCCCCAAGAGGGGGGGGCGAGACCCAACGGTGGGGGATCCCTGCCCCTCCCCGCTCCTCCTCCTCTGGCGAGCGTGGGAGAGTGCGCGAGCGGTAGGCCGCCGGGAGATTGTGCCGTCGGCATTTCCATCGTTGGGTCTCCGGTGAAGTCACGTGGTCCAAAGTAAAACCAGTACGATATTTATTTCCTGGAATTATTTTCTTTTACCGAGCTTTTGCTTCCGTTTATGTGTTTTTAAAATCGGTAAAGGTGCAGCCCGGCAATTGTTTTCTCATGCCACGGCTGACGGGAAGGGCCTCCATCGAAAGGGGATATTATGACCTTCTCTTCCATGCTTGCCAGATATATTGGAAGGGGTGGGTGTGCCCACTCGCCGTGGTGTACCCAATAAAACTGCAGGATGGATGGAGGCTATGCGTAATAAAAAAAACACCTCTGTGATATAGGTTGCTGTGGGGCTACGCTGAGGGCAGCAAAAGACAATGCAGCAAAATCGATTGTTATTCTCACCACCTTCAGGAACTCTGACCAGCGTGGTGAAGTACGGTAAAGCAACCCGCCCTGCAGGGAATGGGGGGAGGGGGGGAGGTGTGGTGCCGAAGATGAGAGGCCTGCAAGTCTCAGAGGCGCCGCTGCAGAATCGGCTCTCGTTGAATCGTCATCCCAAGCGGTTCGGCGATATCGCCGCCCTTCTGATCTTCCGCTCCGACTAAGTGCCCCGTCCATTTTTTAACAGCTCTCAACTAAGGTTGAAAGCCGTTAACGCGTTGGCTCTGTCTGTCTGTCTGTCTCTCCACCCGCCCGTCCGTCTGTCTAAATGGAAGGGGTCGCGATATGTCTGGTAGAGACGAACCAAAATGAACGCAATGTTCCTATTATTCGTGCCACTGCGCTTTGGCACTTTCCCGAAAAGAAAGAAAAAAACCCGGTCGAATTGATCAAAGTGTCGCCCGAAATTTAAAGACGCGCAAATTGAGCACCGAAAGGACAAACGCGTGCCAGAAATCGTTTATGGAATCCATGCGTGCGCATGATTTTTCTTCCTCGTTTTAAATTATTTTTCGTGTGTTTTTTTTACCACCACGGCGTGCGCATCTACGCGAGAAGCGGGGGTGATTAATGGCGTGGCCACTGAGGCGGCTGCGGCGGTGGCGGCGGCGGCGTTTCATGTAGCCGCCGCCTTAAGGACGACCTCAAAAACCCTCCGCAGACCCCTCCCTCGAGCAGTGCCCACTACCCTCGGTGCAGCCTCCAAACGCTCTCTCGCTCCCTGAGCGCTCCTCTGCACCCGCTCCCCCTCCCCGCCCTGACATCATTCCCCTAGCAGCTGAGACACTGCTCAGCAGATAAACGCCAAGGTCGGGGAGATTGACCGACACTGCCGGCCATCAAATTTCACTTTGTGCAGTCTCCTTAACGACACGATTTGCGTGTCGGTGGGCAGTTAGTAGCACGGTTGTAGGGTGCATTGAATGTAGTCTGTAGGGTATTGAATACGGGTGACATACACTGCTATCTATAGCATTGCGTGTGTGTGTGTGTGTGTTTCACTTGGCCTCAAAACGCACCTTGCCTGGTACAAGCGCTGTGGTGAATGGCAGCTGTCAGCATTTTTTTTTGTATTTATACATTTAGATATCTACTGTACAATAGATGGATTGTACAGTAGGTGCCCTGGTTGGAATTTTGACATGTACAGACAGCACTTTGCGATCTTTCGATGCAATGCGCTGTATAGAGATAAATTATGAGTATTATTATCAGTGCATTCCGAATTTTGCATGCTGCATCATCTAGGGTGATTTCCGCCCCCGCATACAGTATTCAAGTGACTTAATCATATTTATAAATGTATCAAATGAATCAACAATGTGTGACTTACCCACACGTGTGATTCTGGTGACTTTCGAGCCGTTTCTATTTTAATCCGGCCGTGTAATGTCCTGCATCACCAGAATATTTAAATCCATTCTGTCCCGATCGACTTCACCCAAGCTCTATGGGCAGCCGTGGTTTCCCCTTTCAGCAAAAAAAGAACTGGGAGTGAAAATCCAGGGTGGTCTCTGCCAAGATGGAAATGTGCCCTTGAAAGTGACACTCGTCTAAATAATCATCAACATCAATTGTGGTCAATCCACTGTTGGATTAAGGCCTCCGCAATGCGTCGCCATCCCATCGTGTTCTGACTGCAGGTGAAAGGTCATTCAACTATTTTCTCGGACGACGATCCGTGATGATGATGATAATGTCTCGACTACTAAACTAGGGTGAAATGCATGACAGCGCCGATATCAGGCTAAAGCTGAAGTCAAACGTTGCTGTTTTCATGCTTTGCTGTTGCTTTACACTGTCTTTGTCTGTAACTAAGTAAACACATTTACATTCATAGACACACCTATATATATGTAAATGCCATGTTCGGTCTTGCTCAGCCCCGCTTCCTCGAGGACATTAAACGCGTACATAACGGCCGTCTCGCTCTGCGTCCTCGGTCAGGCTCGTTGGTTTTAGTTGGCGTCAGTCGGCCAATGCTTTGGCCGGCCCCCTGGCGAGCAGCTGTAGCCATCGTCAAATGCGGTCGACTATTGTCGGTGCGACAAAAACAGTTAAAATGAGAAAGAGAAAAAAATCAACGAAAAACCGCTTCATCTCGGCAATATTTCCGTCGACCGACAAAATCGCCAACCGCTCGTGCGCGCGGAACGCCTGCACAGATGGCGCGGTACGCGGACTGCGAGCACGCGGCGTCGGCGCTCAGCCGGCTGTGCCACACGTGCCGCCTGGTGCGCCCGCTGCGCTCCAAGCACTGCCGCGTGGCCAACCGCTGCGTGGACCACTTCGACCACTACTGCCCCTACGTGTACAACACGGTCGGCTTCCGCAACAGGTAAGGGCTGGTGTGACTCTGTGCGACTCGGTGCGACGTGGTGCTACGCGGTATAACGCGATGTGGTGCGGCGCGACCCGGCAAAGGGACTGAGACGGGGGAGGTGGGGGGGTGGCAGTACGAACCAGGGTGCCCCCCCGCATTAAGCCAGCATAGACCGTCAGCATTTCCTGAAGAACTGCATTGTGGTCCTCTTATCTAAGGTCACCGCCCAAATACATTTGAGCAAATGTGAATGACCGACAGGCGGCAGCGATAGATAACTGTGGACCAGTGTCGTCATTCGTCAGCACGGTAGGGTCACCAGTGCTCGCTGCTGCCAAGTCTGCCTCTGGGAACCGTATTTGTGGAGTGCCCACTTCCACATGAGCTTGGCCAGCGGCCTGCACTTCTTCTGCTCATGGTTGGCTTTGCTTGCGATTTACAGATTTTTACTTTAGCCAGGTCCATGATGAGTTGCGCAACTCAATCGTTCTCTCAAAGAATTGTGCAACTTAGTCACCTGCCATGCCGGGCAGGGGAAGTCGATTCCAGTGGCAGGGAGCAAGGAGTGAGAAGGACCGAAAACGGGAAGGCTGATGCTCACGGCGCGTGCCCCAACAGGTTTCACTTCCTGGGCTTCCTGGCGAGCATGTCGTTCAACTGCTGGCTGGGCGTGCACATGGCGTGGTCGGTGCTGTCCTGGTATGGCCGCGACCTCCTCCTCTTCGCCGGTCTCCTCTTCCTCTGCGTCTTCGGCACCATCTCCGGCGGCATGACCATCGCCTGCGTAAGCCGTGCGGCGCCGCGTCGGCCTCGACGGCGCAAAGTCGTTCGTAATGATAATCGCTGACGGCACTTTGTCAATCCACTGCTCGTTTCTATTTCACGTTGTGCGATGAAGAAGGGAGGTTACCCGACACGCTGCCTCTGATATCTATTTTCCCTCTCCCAAACGCCCCCCCGCCCCCCCCCACCACAGCTGTACATGGCGGGCACGAACACGACGACCAACGAGCGGATCAACGGCATGCGCTACGACTACATGAAAGATGAGCACGGCCGCTTCTTCAACCCCTTCGACCGCGGCGTCGTCGCCAACCTCCTGGAGTTCGCGGGGGCCGTGCGGCCGCTCGGGGAGGCCGAGCTGCAGCGGCGGCGGCGTCGTCGCGACGGCAGCGGAGTCTCGCTCGTGTGAGCCACGGCCGCGGTGACGACGACGCCGCGGCCGTCGCCTCTCGCCGCCGTCGCCGCACGGACGCCGGAGGAGCCCGGGACGAGCGGGGGGGGGGGGGGTGGAGGGGGGGAGCAGTGGGGGTGGGGGGTGGAGCTGGCAGGAAGCAGGAAGGAGCAGGGGGAAGCGAGAAGCGGGGGAAAGCTGGGGAGAAGCGAAGAGCGGGGAGGGAGCGGTGGAGGGGGGGGGGGGGGCATTGGAGCTGGCAGGAAGCAGGAAGGAGCAGGGGGAAGCGAGGAGCGGGGGGGAAGTGAGGAGCGGGGAGGAAGCAGGGAGGAACGGGGGGGGGGAGCAGGGAAGGAGCGGGGATGAAGCTGGTAGGAACGGAGGAGTGGGAAGGAGTTGGCAAGATTGAGGAGAGGCGAGGAGGAATTGGGAGAGGCTAGGAAGAGCACGGAGGAACAAGTGGGGAGGAGACATCGATTTCCTCCGTGGATCCAGGACGGAACTTCGGGGAGCGCGTGGGGAACAGGCTGAAATCAAAAAGAACCAAATGTAAACGATCTGCATCCAGCGTGGACTTTGCCGTAAGCAGCAGGTGGCAGCTATCAGTGTTTGTCTTAAGAGCGCAAGCAACCACGATCCTTACAACTCTTGAGCAATGTACAAAGGCACAGACATTATTTCGGATGAATGTTAAGCGTAATTAATGATCACATGCGTATGAATAGTTTCGTCTATGCATTTTGGGAATACTTAATCGTTTATTTGGGACGGTTTGTCGGTACGGCGATACTTCGTGAAATTTGGCGGCCGAGGGCCGGACGATTTGATGTGAGGTGTTCGGGATTCGTGTGCGAGTGTGTCGGGAGTGGTGCGAATGGTCTCTGTGTGCGAGCATCATAACGCGTAATCTCTATGCAACGCAAAGCAATAACGTGGCATTTCAAAGGAATTTGCGAGACCTGTAACTTGCCTTATTTATTTCGTATTTTTTTGTCAAATATACAGGCGTGTGTGTGAACATTTTACAAATTGCCTCTGCGAGAAGTGTGATTCACCATTATTTCAAACAAATATATACGAGAATAAACCAAATTTTCTACGTCATCTTTGTCGCAAGCTTGTCACACTTTGTTGAAACAATTAAATACAGGTAGGGGTCCCCTTATGGTTTTATGAAGAACCACTTGCTGTGTCCTGGAAGTCGCTTTGCTTTTCTCAGGGATGTTCGCTGGATAAAGGTTTATTTGGACCGGGACTTTGAAATAACGTTGAGGACCATTCGCGCAACGCCGCGTTACCGCACTTGCAAATGTGCATTTGTACCACGTCTCTGAGCCAAATCTCAAAATTAAAACACGTGCACAGGTATGCGTGCGCAATGTTCACTATACCGTAGAGTTGTCGGTGTACTTTATAAGTATGCTGTAGAAATAAAAAGAACGATGATTGCATGTTTGGCAGTGCGTACGATCGTTATCTATGAGGGGGAGAGGTAGGGTACCTGACATAACTGCGATCTGTGCTGTGCAGAGTCTGGCCTCATCCCCCTCCTGTTCCTCCCCGGCCACACCACGGGGTGCGAACTGAGCCCAAGTGCTGGTATTTACACGTCATCATCGTCTTAATCAGTTTGCGCTTATGCGGCCGTCTGGAACGCTCTTCCTTTCCGATGTTAGGAAGCTACTGGAGCTGTGCGCTTTGAAATCATCCAGATTGAAAACTCATTTCTTTCGAACTGCGTGTTGTGTTCTAAGCTTGTTCTTCCGCCGCACCTCCGATGAACTACGGCTGGCTACGTACGGTGCGAAAGAAGTTAAAAGTACAGACGAACATCAGCCGTGATCAATCCGCCTCTGGATGAAGACCTTGCCGAGCCATCGCCGTCTTCCACGTTCCCGTGATGAACCAATCCACCCAGCACCTGCACACGAACTGATTTATATCAAGATGGGGGAAGGTAATGGGCTACTGCTGATAACAAAGCACACTTATATAAGCGTACGTGGCCTCGCCCCAAGGTGTGTACTTATATCCACCTTCCACAGTATCATCATTGTTCAAGTGACCTCCCAATCAAACCCGTCACTTGAACCAGAACGGGCAACTCCGGTTGTCTGGAATTCATTCTCTCCTCTCTCACTGCCTCACTCCCAGCTGTGTCGGTGTTCACGTTGCTTCAGAATCTGGACATGTCTCACTCTCTCTCTCTCGCTCTTTAATTGATTCTCACGTGCCTCTTCAATGTCCCTGTTAAGGTCGGTTTGTGTGCACGTTCATGAGTTTAATAACGAATGAAACAAATACATTGTAATGAATATAATGATGATAATTCAGAGTACAAGTTGTGCGCTGTGTTGTTAACGTTTCTCATTTGTTTAATGAAATTGCAGAGAACAGGGTAAGTATTATTATTTAACTTTAAGAAAAAAACATTTTGTACGTATGTTAATATTTTTTTTATCTTAGCCAACGCACATTGACCGGCGTGCAGCGCAGTCAAACAGCCCCTGTGACCGACACGGTACAAGGGAGGGCCTTCATCCATTAGTGGATTGACATGGGCTGTAAATGATTCTATTTTTTTTATTGCATTTCTAAGTCCATTCAGAAATACAATGCTTACGAAATTGCATTCTGCTCTGTGAAAAAAAAGCAGCAGTCAGGGTTTAAATCGAAAATTTCAGAATCTTGTAAAAAAAAAGATAAAAGATTAAATAGGATACTTGGTGAGTGTGTGGGGCAGTGTGCTCTGCTTCGCCTACGACCAAATGATTTGGACCAAATTACCCAAATCAAATGACCCCCATCTCGCCAGATCTTTGCATCAAAGCATGGTCGAGCTTGGATAATCCTGGGATGGGCACCCACCATGCATAACAGGTTGCTATTGGTTGCTACGGGCCGCAGAGTACATTGCAGCAACATCCACTGCTGTACATATTTTGATTCTCAAGTACGCCACGCCATGCTTCATTGTGACAAAATTAATCGCGCGCCCCTCTGCAATTCTTCAAAGCGAACAGAGACGCGAGACGTGTTGTGTTACCACCGCCACCACTGACGCGGGGCATTGGAAAGCCAAGCCAAAGCTTTGGGCACTGCGGTCATCCTCGCAACAGCGGCTTTTGGCTGGCCATCGAATAAAGACGGCTACCACATCGCGCGCTTTTAAACGCGCTTCTGCGGCCGTCTGTCATGTTCTTCCTTTCGATATTCGGAAGCCACTGGGAGCCATGCACTTTTATGTCTAGATTGAAAACTCATTTCTTTAGAACTGCGTTGTATGTTGAGTTTGTTGTTCTTGACCCGCACCTCTGATTAACACGATTGACTATGTGCTGTACATATAAGTGTCTCAAAGCGGTCCCAATTTATTGAAAAAATCGGAGCGCATCAAACACGTGCTTACATTTCTCAATCCTAAACAGCATAACAAACTGATTAACATGTGAAGCATATTATTACTATTGAAGTATTTGAATTGACGGCAGGAACTTCTTGACGGGTAACACACTTTTATTAAATCTTGACGTGTCACAATACAACGGGTGGTCTCTATCCTTTGGACTTTACACTCCACTTAACTCGTGTAGACTCTATGCTTCTGGCTACACACAATACACTTGACTCGTGTAGACTCTATGCCTCTGGCTACACACAACACACTTGACTCGTGTAGACCCTATGCCTCTGGCTACACAATGCATTCGGCTCGTGTAGACTCTATGCCTATGGCTACACACAATACACTCGCCTCTGGGTTACACAGAGTCCCGGTCCCGTTAGGACAGCGGGACTAGGTACCGCAGGGCCCTATGTCTTCATCCCCGTCTTCATTCTTCGCTGGTTACATACTGCCCTTACGCCTGTGTGCATCCCCTTTTATAGCCCCTGCTCACGAGATACGGAGCTGATGCGGACGTCGACGTGAGCATCGCTCCTTAGTGAACCAATCACGACGCACTCTCTCTACGATCCGTTTTCCCCAGCGCGTGTTAACACTACTCCACCAATCACACCGCACTGCCACCCGGTCACTCCCTCTCAGCGCGTCACCGGCCCACAGCCAATCAGTACCCCGTAACCCACGACCCCGCGCTGACCCCTGATCCTCCACCGTCAGCGCGTGTCACCACATACACAGCCAATCATTACGCGCTGGCATACGATCCCTAATCCCAGCGCGTATCACCACTACACTATTATCTCTCTCATCTGTAGCTTGTCGACATACGTCTTCTCTCATCGAGCCAATTAAAACTGGGCCCCTTTTAAATATAAATACCCAGTACCACCAATTCCCAGGGCCACCAATTCTCAGGGCCACCAATTCCCAGGGCCACCAATTCCCAGGGCCACCAATTCTCAAGGCCACCAATTCCCAGGGCCACCAATTCTCAAGGCCACCAATTCTCAGGGCCACCAATTCTCAGGGTCACCAATTCTCAAGGCCACCAATTCTCAGTACCACCAATTCTCAGGGCCACCAATTCTCAGGGCCACCAATTCTCAAGGCCACCAATTCTCAGTACCACCAATTCTCAAGGCCACCAATTCCCAGGGCCACCAATTCTCAAGGCCACCAATTCCCAGGGCCACCAATTCTCAAGGCCACCAATTCCCAGGGCCACCAATTCTCAGGGCCACCAATTCTCAGGGCCACCAATTCTCAAGGCGACCAATTCTCAGGGCCACCAATTCTCAAGGCCACCAATTCTCAGGGCCACCAATTCCCAAGGCCACCAATTCCGAGGGCCACCTATTCACAGGGCCACCAATTCCCAGAACCACCAATTTCCAGAACCACCAATTCCCAGGGCCACCAATTCTCAGGGCCACCAATGGGATTGATTGTGTGAAGGCCTTGTGTGAATGGCGCTTATATCAAACTAAGTTTTTACTTACCAGTGACCGCTGCCTGACTGTTGTTGGTGAAATGAAGCCAGTCACTCGCACAGAGAAAGTTGAATTGACACGGGGACTCCAAACGGCCACATAATCCCACGGGGACTCACGCCCTGTGTGCACAGGCGTCGTGACTTGTTCACGGGGAATTCCTAACCCCCACACCCACGGCTCACTTTCATCTGACGCCACGCC